AGTTAATTTCTTGTAGCGAAGGAACATCCCGTCCTTTTTTTATGTTTTCACTGTCTCCCTCGCCATGGTCGCTGGCCTGCCGCGCGTTTCATTAAGATCACGGAACGGATTTGACACCGTAAAAATAGTTGCAAATCTTGTTTGAAATATGGCTCCTCCGATCGATGTAAATTCGTTCCTCCGGGAGATCCCAGTGAATCGTCAATCATTATATAGAAGTCGAGCAGCGATAATCAGGAGCCGGCGCCCAATACGGACTGAATCTGAAAAATTCAATGAATACCCGAAACCTGAGGGAGCGGATATCCGCCTGAAAAGTCTCCGAGAGCGTATTGCTGGATCCGAGCTCTCTCGAATATCCATGACTTCAGTCGGATTCGAATTTCGACGCTGAAACTCTCGACGGCGAAGCTTTTCGGGATGGACATTCAAGTTTTGGCATGAGAGCCATTGACTTCAGGTCGGAATTCCCAAAGGAGACCGTTTAGTACTCGCTTGACGGCCATGTGAATGGAATCAAACTTAGAATTTTGCAAAGCTCGTTGCCGTGATTGCAGAGAAGCAGGAAAAAAAAAGAAAATATCGTGGAACCAAACTTTAGTTAAGGGTCGTTGCGCAGACTGGAAACGTGGGCTGGCGTGCACAGATCAGGGGTGGACGCAGGCTAGCGGAGAATGGCGAAACGTGATTACGTTAAGTCTAACGCGTGTGACTGAAAGAGGCACTCGAGAGAATCTGAAATCGAGTTCATCATCTCAAAATCCCTTCACACTTTCTTCCAACCCCTAATTGGCTGTCTTCGAAGGTAAATGTTTGATATTTTCCTAAACTCCTCCAATCTTCACATTCTTGTTCCGAGCCGGTATTTTCCGTTTCTACGCCCTCCGGTGCGATTTCTTCGCTTCTGGCAAGATTATTCCAAGCCAGTATCCACCAAGCGGATTCGCCTATTCCGAGGAGGAATGAGCGAACCGTGCCAAACCTGTGCTAAGGGAGTCAAAAAGTAGCTTCTTCGCTCCCACTCTGTGCTGATCAAAACAGAAGCATGACCGGAGAAACGGCATGATTTTTTTCTATATATATTTCCATTGATGTTACCGCCGGCAGCAGTGACTGACACTCAGTCGGTGCCATAAAGTCAGCCGATACGCGATCCGGAATTCAGAACTACCTACTACTACGACCGCCAAATGACAGCTCGACACAGACTGCAGATGCAAGTCAAAAACACCATTAGGCAGAATGCGGACTGTGCGTTTCGCTTACAATGCACCATCCTAGAAGACTGAACTATAGTAGTTCTTACTGATCGCCGAAGAAAGATCAAGGGGGTCGGTCGTTCTCGACATTCGCACGACCGACCCCGCAGCTCCGAACGAAAAAAAGTCGTTTTCATCCAGCCAAGAAAAGCAACATTCAGACACACAGATAATAAATACAGAAGACGACGAAAAAAAAGACGAAGAAACTACATCATAAGGGGATTGACTGGAGAATCCAAACAGCCAGCGTGCTCCTCAGTGTCGGCAACGGACTCACACGCACACATCGACTTCACAGACTCTGAAAAAATCTCACTGGTGAACTGTGGACGTTTCGATGGCCCGACCATTGTAGTCTATTAAGGAGAAGTAGGATGCAAATCGTGGAAAGCCCATTATGGCCAAGGAACGAAATAGAAGCACCGAAAAAAAAATGAAGAGAGAAAAAACCGTTTTCGATAGTGCAGCTAGTCCGATCGCCGAAGACATTTACTCCGAGATCTCGAATATCAGGAGTCATTAAACCGGGCGAGCAAAATTGACTCACTCACTCACTCAGCCAGTCGGCCTGAGGAGGGGGAGCATTCCTCGAGCGGATTATGGGAAAATCGCTCTTTTGGATCGCTGAGAAATGCGTCTCGTTCCGACGGTCGCGGTTGAAACGTTCGATAGGGACTCTCTAATGGAGCGGCGACCTAATGGGTTGATGGTTCAAGTTCCGATGCCTGGATGGATCTACGACATCCGACGCCCCTTCCACGGGTCGCTGGGACACTTCTGCAACGCTGCGCTGCTAACACAGAATTCATCCGCGTCTCCATGCGGATAAGTCGCCAGGCTTATCGTTACGAAAACCGACCAAACGTCTAGTGCGCTAGCGAACTAGCAAGCGACCGCGGTTCGACCAATAGATAGATAGATAATCACTCAGCTCACAGCCAGAAAAGCGATAAGGCAACGTCGGTTCTGGTCAGATTGCTCGAACTGCGCGATCCCCTATCTCAAACCACCACCACCGCCGCCGCCGTCGCTATTGCTGATGCCGCCACGGTGCTGGCGTAGAGCGCGACGGCGGGCGCTAGCGGTGGCATCGAGAAGGCAAAGCCATACGGCTAGTTGCTCGTCAAGATTTCTTGTTCGTCACCCGTAGGTTAGAAAGCAAACGTCCTAAGCAGATTCTCGCAACAGTATTCCTCGCTGTGATCTCGGGCGGGGCCCATTCCGAGCGGCATAAGTCGCGTGCGTTTCCGCACAGAATTCTCCTGCACGCGCCGATCCCAGCGGGAGTCATTAATAGACCGAGAATCATAACATGGACCGAGGACGTTGCGGAACATGCGGGATATTAACTCGATGGTCAGCTTGTCACCCGTGGGAAGCCCAACCGAATTTCGGAGTCCCAGAACACACCGTCCGTCGTGGATCATGAGCATCTTCGAGAGCGTCGTTCCGCGTTCGGGAAGATGCGCATGACCGATCATCATCGATCGGAATTATAACCGTTGCGACAGAATAGTTCGTCGTTGAAAAGGAGCCTTGTCTCGTCCCTTCTACCCGAAGAGCCTATTTTCTCCGGAGACAAGTTCGACGACGCCAACGGTGCTAAACTCTCGCCCCTCTTCGGAAACTTATCGCTTTAATAAGGCGATATATCGACGGGCTAGAACGGGTTTCGAATAAGACGCTCGTCTTCACGAAGGAAAAAAGCGAATAAGAAAGGAAGAATAAAGAGAACGAGCACCGATCTTCTAGCCGGTCGACTAGCCGACCGTCCGAACGGCGGCCAGCCGGCATGCCCGCCTGCTTGCCAGCCAGCCCGCCAGTCGACTGCATACTGCTGCTCATAACGCCACCGTTGGATGCCGCCGTCGAAACTGTATACGGAGCGACTGCCGAACAGTCTAGGTAGTCCTAAAGGCAACGACACAGCCGGTAGAACGAACGCGCGGATGGATGGGCGGACGCGTCCCAAGGCAAGCATACTGCCAGGCGCACCAGAAAAGCCTACCCCTTTCGTTTCTCGTCGTTCGTTCGTTTCTCGAAAGATAGTCGGACGCACAGATTCACCACCAACCAGTGATCGTCCGGCCAATAAGCCAGCCGAGCAGCCAAGCAAGCAGTCGGATAGTCGGCAGCGAGCAACGCATAGTCCAAAGCTGACAGTCGCTATTACTTCTAGAAGCGATTGCAGATTTAGATAGTGGCGCGGCTTCTTACGCGCGGAGCCTTATCGACGAAGTGCATCGCATCAGACGACTCTAGCCGGAGCGACGGGCTTTGGCCTGGAAGACGAAAAACGTACTAAAGTTACCCGAATCAATCGTACGAGGCATAAATTGACACCATAAAAATTCCAGCTGGGGGAGGGATCGAGCCTCCCGTTAATATATGTCCATCGTCAAACCTCCGCGCTCCGGGGACGAGAAATTACACCGGACTCGGGGAAGCCCTCAGTTTGATTTCCGACGATCCCTCAACTGTGTGCGAAGGATTGAAGGGATGCGACTACGATCTCTTCCATTGTGTGAGCTCCTCCGCATACGATGGAGCTTGCGAAAGGTTTCCGAGGGGGCAGCCCGCTCCTTTCGACTCGTTCTCAGTCAGAGTCGGGCAGGAATCGAATTTGAATCGATCACAAAAGCGACGACGAGATGTTTCTCTTACGCCGGACTTCCCGATGCAGAAGGATTCGAGGAGTTTAAGCCGAGGCCGCCCTCTCGTTATTGGCCAACGGTTGACTGATAGAAAATAGTTGCGATTTGCCACTTGGTTGATTCTCTGGGCCAATGCCCCTGCCGCCGCCGGTGCCGCTGCTGCTGCCGACGCTAAAGCCGTCGCGGCTACCGCCGCCGTCTACGATGGCGTCACCAGTATTCTGTGGCCTTCGTTACGACATCATTATCGCCGGACGGTTTTTCGGCTAGACGGACGAAACGACGGACTCACAGACTGAGGGCGGACGTACCGACTCAAATCGACAGATCTGCAGAGAGATCGAGGGGAGTCCGGAACGATGGTCCGACGAGCAGTCGTGCCGGGGACAGTCCGTCCATCAGTCCGCCCGTCAGTCAGTCAGTCGTCACTGACTGAGAGTGAGTCAGTTCTCGCTGCGTGAAGCGATCGAACGACGGGCCGACGGACCGACAGACGCACTGTGACTGACTTCAGTGCGCGAATCCATTTGCTAGACGGCGTCGGCGATGCTAAGTGGCAAGGAAAAGGGAATTCCTCTGGCGAGGGAAGAATGCTTGATGTCTGCCGAGTGTCTGGATTTTCAGACGACAACGACCACAGTGTCGTTGATCATCATCACATGTTAGAATGGAGAACTTGGTCCCGCATCGAGCCGTATTTTCTGTCTGAACTCCAGAAAGTCGACCTGGAGCGGTCGGGCGGCTCGACTGCCCGTGGTGGCTCGGTTCGTCTGTCTCCTCGCTCGTCCGTGCATTCGATCCGCGTCGACCTCGATCGTGCGTACCGTCCGCAGGCGGAGGATCCTTATGTGCGAGTGAGTGTACGTGCGTATGCTAACTAACACGTGAATTCCGGATCTGACTCCCTGTTGTCTGGTTGGTTGGTTGGCTGGCTGGTAGATAGAATTGACGGTCGGTCGACCCCCGACGGACTTCGTGTATATCCAGACCTCACCGCTACTTCTGAACTCGTGACGTTTTGAATGCTGAACTGGTTCACGAAGACGCGAAGGACTCGTGACTGAACGAAAATCATTCATTTCAGAGTTGAATCCGACGATGTCGTCCTCGAACCAAAGCATCTCACCTCTACCTCATAGCGACGCGCGCTACTGGACCGATCCGCGCTACAACTATCCCAACCGCAGTGAGTTCCATGAGAAAGACTGGCAGAAGAGCTCATGGATACCGTACAGAGACTTCCGTCCGCCACCGAGTCCGGCAGCAGCGTACGATGCGAACAGTTTCGAAAGTGTGGATATGTCCTTGCATACCGGTCACGTCGTTCACGGAGCGAGCAACGGCAACTATCTGCGCGCGAGCGCAACTTCTCCATTCGAGCATTCGAACGGCACAACGGTGCAGCACACGCGGACCCCAAAGTCTCTCGAAGCTGGCCAACGGAACAGCGAAGGAGCGACCAGGAAAACTAAGCACTCCATCGCAGCTCAATTAGGCGCCTCCAGGTGAGTTGATTTGAACGTCTGAGAATTGAATCGGCGGAAGGGTCATGAAACTCCCCCCTCCGGCCCCTCCGATTCCTTCCGCCTGATAATTTCCGATCCGATATCCGTCGGAATTTTCCCTCAATCGGGGTGGATCCATGCACTTCGGTGTTCCGAAATTCGAATGCCTCATCCCAGAAGTTCGTCGAGTCGACGAGCGTTGATTCTCTCATGAGTTCCGTGTCTTTACCCTCCGCAGAGAAACCTGTTTGCCGCCTGAGGAGCGGACAGAACACGGAGCTCTAGTCAGACCTCATGACGCAGCTTACGCAGGGAAACTCTACGGGACCGAAGGATCGCCACAAGTGCTCGCCCCTCACCGGAAACCCCCATACTCGTACAGCACTCTCATCACATTCGCAATCAACAGCAGCCCGAACAAGAAGATGACACTCGCGGATATCTACAATTGGATTTGCTTGAACTTCCCCTACTACAAAGAAGCGGGCTCGGGCTGGAAGGTGAGTGCATTCACTTGGACGGGCAGGGGGAAAACGAAAGGCTTCTTTTACCAACTCGACTCGATCCGAATATCGTCGCCGCCGCCGCCGCCACCACGCCGAAACTTACGCGCAGTCGCTGCAACAGCATCGAATTAGATGCTGTGCTGTCTCGAACAGATAAAACCAGTATCTACGACGCATAAACTCGGAGACGCCGCCGTCGACCGCCTTGACGTTATCTGCCAACGGCTTTTTTTCTAGTCCACGAAATGCGGCAAAATTCATCGTCCACTTGGGCAAAAAGAAGACTCTTCGTACAATTCAATGCGTTCTATGCTTGGAAGCAACGCGGCGTTTCCGACGGCAGCGGCTGATGCTGCCAGTGCCAAGAAACGCGTTCACAGAAAGCCGTCCCGCGCTCCGACGCCACCGAAGTAAAGGGTTGACGTTTTGATGAAGCGTTTTTCGCGCTTAAATTACCAAGGACGCTCCTGAGGTGCTTGGCTCGGCCACCAACCGTCCCGTCGACGGAGTGGCGTTCATCGTCGCGGCTTCTCCGCTGGACATGAGACACTTCTGCTTATTTATCCAGGAGGAACCTACCTATTTCTGAATTACTTCGCTCGTCAGAACTCTTTTCTTTAACGAGCCCTCCACGACTTTTGGATGAATCGGGGAAGTTCGAGAGAGTATTCAGTCGTCATTATCCAGTAGCTCATTCTCGTAACGCTCGCGGTAGAATCAAACGATTCGTTGAGCTTCTCTCGATGTCGGCTTTGGAAACAGTCTCGACACGAGAGTCCATCAGGAGCTCCGCTATTCCTCCACGTCGGCACATAGTGAAACGTCATCCTTCGGATACTCCCGGGAGTTTCGAGCCCTTCGCGGAACGCTGAATGATCTCTCGAACCAAGAAAGCGGCTTACTGTCCTCTGTCAGGTCGGAACGCCTCAATAACAGAAAAGTCGCGGAAGAATTTGATTGAAGGAAGTTCGCTCGGACTCTGCGTCCTCTACCTCACCGAAGCATTTTCGCCGTTTGACTCGAAACCTATGGGAGAGGAAGCAGTTCCATCCGCTTTAAACGGTGAAAATCCCCAGACCATCACAAGATTCGCTCCCGGATTCCCGGAAGATATCGGTCAAAGTTTGGAAAAACTTTCTACCATGCCGTAAGGGAGCCCATTCGTCCGGGTTCCCCCGCAAGAGCTAGTCTTTCCACGACCGCAACACTCACCGACCGAGTGATTCTTCATGTGCTCGCACGTGGGTGTCTCGGACGCAGACTCGATAGACCAAGGTATCGGTGAGGATCTGTGAACTCTGACACAGTCCGCACGACTTCAAGGAGACATTCCGGCTCTCTTAATAGCGGCCCCGGCCACTGGAAAGTGAGTCCTAATTGAAAAGAAACAATTTTCCCAACGACCACCCGTTTGCTCAATTCCAAAGACGCCGGAACAAATGCGTCGTTTCTGTTGAGCGTTATCTCCCTTGCGCTAAGCGTACGCATTAAGTTTCTTTCGGGACGGCTCGCATCTCCTTTCAAGAGGTGACCCAGAGACCATAGCGTTCCGGAATGAACGAGGAAAAAAGACGCGCGAGACGTTCTTCGAGCTAATCTTCGAGGATATTCTCCCTACTAACTAGCTAGCTTCTTCTTCTCAAGAGGAATGCTTGAAGTCTCCGCGCGGAGGCTTCTACTTGAAACCGCGGACGAGTGTCTACTTGGGTGGTTTCACGAGTTGCATAGTTTATGAAAGTCCCCGTTGGTCGACATGGAAAGTTGGACCCCACGCACATGTTGAACAAGAAACAAAAGTGTATCAACTAGCGGGGAACACGACAGCTCTTGCGAATTTCACTGATAGATCAATCGATTTGGAGGCTTCGCCAACCACGTCTATCGATGTTTCGGTTAGCTCGTCCGAAGAAGGCGACGCAAACGCGTTCGACGCTGGTTAGCGTTGGTCGAAGTTCTTCTCCCACGAGCGGCTGGAAAACGTCGCTGTCCCCGGTAGCCCGACGACGGGGAGAGCCGGCTCTTTATCTAACTATAAATTCGATGGTTCGGTCGCTCATTCTCCGTCTGGCGCGTCTTTCCGGCCTACCGACGACGACTACGTCGAGAAACGACGACACCGTGCTTCGCTGGTTAATTTAGACTATCAGAACCGGCGAAGCAGTCAAACTATATACTATCTGATAATGAGCCCCACGACTAGCGAGCGAGCCGCGCTATCGGGAAGTACAGCTAGCGACCGGAGTTCTTGTCGTGCCGGAAGGCTTGCGAGCCAGTTCGCTCGCTCGTCCGTCCATCCGTCTGTCCATCCATCCGTTTGTCTCGGCCTGGCTGACTGCTCGTCTGTCTCTTACTCCGCCGGGTGGTTAGACGAACTATCCGTCGATCTTTCAACCATCGGATCCGCTTTTTCTTTCCAATCTTGGAGATTTTGCGACAAAGACGAAGGCTCAGCTCTTTCGCCCGATTCGGCTTTCATCCGCCAGATTATCGGGCTGATGAATCCCTTTTCGTATCTCCGGGTGTTCGATTGGAGCTATCCCGAGAATTCGTTTCACGGGACTGTCTCGTCTGGAATCAGAATTTGAGCGAACGGAGAGAACAAGCCTACGTGCAGATCGATTTCGCCGCCGCCATCAGCGTCGTCGTCACTAATGATTCCTTTGGGAATGGCGCACACGAAGCATGCTGACCAAAAAAATAAATGATTCACTGGAAGGACCAAAGGTGACAACGATGAACTTTCACTGACAGCGGTTTTTACGTTCCTCGTTGCAGAACTCGATACGTCACAATTTGTCTTTGAACAAATGCTTCAAGAAAGTCCCAAGATCCAAAGACGACCCTGGGAAGGTAAGAGCCCGTCCATATGCCGCCGATTTCCTTCTTCGCATCCGAACTGGTTTTCACTCTTCCTCTTCACGTGAACGGTAATTTCATTGGTGCCACCTCTAGAATAATGTCCCCATCAATTTCTAGGGTTCTTATTGGGAACTGGATATGCGCGCATCGCAGAACGCGTCTGACCCGAACTCGGCGCCCCCGCCGACCAGGAAGAAGAAGGCATTCACGATTCGCAACAATCCCTACATGAGTCCGTCAATGATTCCTACGTCTTCGGCGTCCAATACGGCACCGACCCAAACCAATCTCGACGCTTCGTCCCTCCGCTACGACTCGCCCGTGGAGCCGGTAGCCCCCCATATGCCCGTCGATCCCATGATGGTAGCTCAACGATCTCCCTACGGGGCACCTACGCCCCCGAACTACGGTCATCCTGGGGGTCCGACTCCTCCGTTGACGGCTCATTCTGGTGCATACACTCCCCCTTTACCCTCCCCTCAGGGCAGATCACTGTACACGCCCCCCGGATGTCTGACGCCAATGGTCGGCTATAGTCCGCTACCGTACAGGATGCCGTCGGATGGCTCCACATTCCGGTACTTTGATTTCCCCTATGACCATAGGTCGTCCGAGGAGGCCGTCGCGAATCACACGATGGGTGGAGGGGGCTTGTGAAGTCCGTGATCGGAGAGCATTTCGGGAAACGCGACTTCGTCCATTGATATTCCCGGGACTATCTACGAGAAAATGCTCAAATTGCTCCGTTCGACGCAGCAGCGGAAAAAGTCGACGATTCCCCCGACGATTCACAACAGAGCGAAAAATCAACCAGCGGAAATGAGGAGTTTGTCCGCTCACCGAGGAGCGCTTCAGTGTTTCTTCTCAAAGTAGATCGTCGGCAAACTCAAGACCTTCATTCGAAGGGTCTGCTTACTCAGTATATGTATGTAGTATGTATGTTTCTAGTTTTATTTCATCCAATGGGCGACCATCGGTGTCCCCTATGGCCGGAGAGTCACTGTGATCATTGCGGAGATACTTACGTTCGAATGTGATGATTGAGTAGATTCTTGGTTTCAACGGAAAAAGATCTCTACCCAGTACTCCAGATGTTCATGAATCGCATTGCAGTCAATCAGAATTCAGAGGGGTGATGAGTCTCTATTCATCGCTGCATTTTTGACTGATGATTTAATCCATTGTAAGTTGGGGTCGCAAGGATTGGTGGAGAAACCCCGCGAGAGGAGGAGAGCTCCCTTCTCGAAGAATCGAGAATATTTCTCCGGCTGAACGCGACCTCATCAGAAGAATTAAGAAGCGTAAACTCACGGCAATCGATCTGCAACGAACGATATTGCAAAGTATCTTTCCCCGGAGCTCTCTTCTCACGAGGAAATCGCCAAGGTTCGGTCGATGCTCTCAGACACTGATTTTGATCAAGAATCTACCTTCCGTGAGAAGGAAATATATTCATATGAAATACGTGAATCGCTGAGAATCGTGTGATATAGCTCGGCGCAGTGGGGTGGCTTTCTATAAATTGTTCATCGTTGTTGGTGGCTTGGTTCCGGTACTTCCAATCGCAAGTCCCTCCCGATCGAGCATTGAAATGGGTACCCTGGATGGTAATTCCGGAACGGGGGAGGGGATCTACCTGGACGTAACCAGACGTTGCGTGAGACAGCTGCGCAGTAGAGGATACGCATGATCGAAATCAAAATATTCCTTCAGGAACCGATTTTCCGTATTCTCCTCAACTTCCAATAGGAGAGACACACTGCCCAACTTATTTATGAGGAGCGCAATCACCGTCCGGACTCAAGGGATGCGAGTAGGATCTCTTCAGACTTCTTCCGACAATCTCTCCGTTCGAGGTGATTCGAGTGGGCTTTATTTTCCAAGTGATGGGTCCGATGGAAGATTATGGAATTCAATCGAGTGGAAATGCTTGACTGTCGAGTGGAATACATTGATACACGTTGCGAGTGAGTGGAGCTGAGGAATGTTGTGAGACACTGCCATTTTGAGTGCAATCAAATGAATGTATGGCGTATCTTAGACCTACTTTGTAATTATTCAAGCGACGATCAGAGAGCCGGAGTACGGGAGCTCAAACTGAGGAATATAGAATAAACTTTGAGGGAAACCCCGAGATCTTATTATTTCCCAGAATGTTGATGCAGCATCTCTATGCTTACCTTCCCCAAGCGGTCATCGCTGGCGAGCTTCGAGAAGCTCCAAGGACGACGCGATCCTTGCGGGATCCGAATCGACCGTTTGGACTATCATCCAATGAGGTGATCCTGCCACTCCATCCAATGGGGGTAGCGCTCCTTCCGGCTCCTACGTGTAGCGTCAGCTTCTCCAACCTCCTCCGTCCCGCTCGCTGGCCATACGCCGTCGGAGGGGCAGCCAGGATGGTCCAAAGAGTTCGAGGGCTCTCGAAAGAGTTTCCTGGGATAGCGTCTCAGTCTCTTTAATTATGAGGTTCTGACCCGCCGTAAAGTCTAACCTGGACTGAAGGAAGGAAATTCCTACGCATCTCCTCCCACATCCGTCAGAAAGGCTCTCGCCGAAGCTCCGAGATCCCTCAATGTTGGAGCGATTGGAGGGCGCAGCACCCCCATCCCTCCTAGATTAGCGTGGGCGGACGAAACCCTCAAGGAATCATTCGGAGCCCAAGCGATAATCAGCAAGATGTGTTGGTATATGCCCAGACTTATGACACCTCCACCTCGGACTTGTACGACCCCTGCTGAGGAGCCTGAGCAGGTGTCCCATACCTCGATGGTACTCTCATTCGAATTGATCCGTCCCCAGCCTAAACGAATACCCTCTGTATGTATTCCACGAATGAGCGTAGAAGTAGGAGCTCATCTCTCCCTCTTCCTCGTGACGCTTCACGCGACGGCGTCATCAGAACTGACAGTGAGAAGGATGCCAGCTGGCACCGCAGAATTGATTTCGAGGAAGCGCAGAGCCTCGTGGCGCTTGTCGGGCCTTGTCAGACGGTGAACTCAGACAAGGAGGGAAGGAAAATCCCGCATGCGGAGTCAGGTGCCTCTCCAGCTCAAAATCAGCTCTTTCCTTGCGACTGGAAACATCCGGAGCTTTGACCGCGGAATTCCAACAACTTCCATCCGGTCCGCCGGACAAGGATGCTCGGCATTCCATCGGTACGTCGAAGAGCAAGCGATGCCGCTTCAAGCAGCCCGCTTTTCTTAACGGGAACCCTATGGAAACACTTCCGGTCTCGAGCGATCGAAGTCCGATGCTGGGAACCGCGCATCACATCCTGCAATCGGACTGAGTATGGAAAGTAGAAGAGCAACCTCCGGGAAGTAGTACCTCTCAAGAGAAAAGCCTCGGGTGAAAATCCCGGAGGGAGCAAGTACTCGGAGGGGCACTTCTGAAGATCTTCACGGCTTCAGATATCCCGACTGCAGCACGGCTTGCACTGTCGATTGCGGGCTATTAATCTTTTTGTTTAATATTCGAGAGGGATGCAATGAGCTCCATCGACTTCTAATCGCAGGAAATTCGCCTCAGAAGCTGATTCGTCCAGAGAGACGAGCAGATTAGGTCCAAAGAGTTCAACGGTTCATGAAAGAGTTTCCTGGGATGGCGTCTCAGTCTGCGGAACTATGAGGTTCTGACCCGCCGTAAAGTCTGAAGTGGACTGAAGGAAGGAAATCCCAACACTGACATTGATTACGACGCTTGAATCTCCGGAAGTGGACTTCGGCCGCGGTAATAAGCGATGTGTCTCCATTTCAATTTTTTCCCTTGTTGTCCTCGCGTCTTAAGTCTTTTTCTGGAAACTCTCTTATAAAGGCTCACTTTCGGAGATTCCGCATATCCCCGGGAATTCTCCGTGAGCTCCCCGAGCGGGGGGCGCGACCCCCGCTTGGGAGTCACTGGTCTACGCAGCTCCAGTTTTCAAGCCCCGCTGAGGAACGGAGGGTCATACGTACTCAGGGGAAAAAGGAAAACTCATGTGACGATTATGAAAACCTCGTTCATTTCCAGCTCTGTTCAATTTAATAAATATCATCCACACAGATGTCAGCTCCGACGACCTCCTCTCCGTAAATGGCGTGACGCCCAATTTGTACAACAGGAGCGCCTGAAGAAAACCTCATGAAGATCAAATTCCTGACCTAATAATGCTCTGTGATCCCACTACTTTCTAGCGCTCCCGCGCTTTCTTCGAGTGAATGGGTTCGAAACGGGGTTGTCACCCTTGCACTCGGGCCTGTTCACCAGATCGGGCAGCTTGCAGTTTCCGTCCTCTTGATTCCAAATGGTTTCCCCTTCGCAGAACATCACGATTGGTACTCCGTAAGCGCACCAATAATACTTCTGACAATCTTTCTCGTGAGGAATGTAAGAAATGTTCGGGGTATTGCAGTCGTTCGGGTAGAGTCTGCCCGGATCCCCGTAGGTCTTCTTGAGGTTCTGTGCGATCGGTCGCCGCGTTGTCGAGGGCTTCGCCGTCTGTGTGGTTTTGGGTTTCGCGGCGGCTGTGGTGGCCTTGCTTTGAGGGGCGAAGCGAGTTCGCGGAGTGGTCACGGATTTCTTGGTGTTCGGCGCAGGGCTGGTTTGAGTCCGCCTGTGTGGTTTCGAGTGGTTGTTGAGGACGGGTTTCGGTCTTTTGATGACTTGCTTTTTCACGACGGGCACTTTGTAGTCCTTGAGCTTTCTATCGATCGTCGTCAAGAGCGGATTCTTTTCACCGCAGGAGCCTCGGAAATCATCCATGTCCAGAGCCCAAACCATAGCTCCACCGTAGCCCTGTTCTTTGAGATAATCCATCTTAGCGGCAACCGATTCGGCGTCTTCGTAGCCCACCCATTGGTCCTCCTTGAAGGCGTACGGCGCTTTGCCGATCTGGTCGAATTTGCGGGTCCATCCGTTGTTTTGCGAGAGCAATGAGCAAATTTCGAAGTAGGCGAGGAAACCGGTCGAGTTGGTGTAGGTTCCGGGAAGACCACCTTTCTTGTCTTTGTCGATATAGGCTTTGAGCCCGCGGCTCTGGGGGTCTTGCAAGGTGTAGGTGCGACCGTAGAACGGAACACCGACAATGAGCTTGTTTTTCGGGGCGCCACCGTCGACCCACATCTGGAGACCATCGTGCTGAAACGAGTCTTCGTTTAGCGAGGATATCGGAAGAGAGCATGTTTTTCATATGGAAAGTACGGAGAATCGTTCCATGAAATCCACGGTGCGAAGAATAGGCCGTCGGAGTATGGACGGGAACTCGAACTTACCACATTCAATTTCTCGTAAGCCCACTCATCGAAAGGCCGTTTGTGTAATGGTGAATGTACGTCGGAGAAGCCTGCCCAATTTCCTCTCAGGTCGTAGGTCATGACATTGATGAAATCGAGAAGTTTTCCAAGCTCCTCGATATCATACGCGTCTTGAACCCGGAACTTGGACACGGGAACAGCGGCGGACAGGATCATTCGATAGGTGTTGAAGACGGATTTCATTTCCCTAACCAAATCAAGGAAGTTTTCCTTGTCTTTGACGGTGCCTCCGCGATCGAAAGCACCAGGATACTCCCAATCCAGATCGAAACCATCGAATCCGTATGTCTGCACCCACTGGATGACGGAGTTAATGAACGTGTGGCGGTGAGCCTCCACGGCTACCATTTCCGAATACTTCTTGCCGCCTTCAGCCCATCCTCCGACGGAGAGAAGAGTTTTCACGTGCGGGAACTTCTTGCGGAGCGCCGTGAAGCGCCGGTAACCACCTATAATGGAGGATATCAATGAGAAGGCTGTGCATTGGAGTCTCGTCGTCGACTCGCCGTAAGCGATCTGGCCTGATCGACGGGTATATTCACCTTTGTTGAAATCGAACTCCGGGTCGATCGAGAAAAGCTCCCAGGTTTGGTTGCTGAGTCCTACGAAAGCGTACACGAGATGGGTACATTTGTCTCCGGGAATATCATCGATATCGTAGTTCATCGGGAAGGGTCGGTACAGCGCCCATGAGCTGAAGTAGCATACGACCTTCGGGGTATCGGTCGTAATGTTCTTGATCGTTTCGAGCTGCTTTCCATCTGAAACGAGTCATTTCGTTGGTCGTCGTCAACTCCCGTAGATTTCGATCCCCCGCGTTCCCTCAATGCAACTCCCATCAAGGTTCTGTCTAAGATACTATGTCGATTGGGGCGACATCATGGATTTCAGAGTGAAGTTTCCGACGAATCGAGTCCTCAATGTCTGCTCATCACATTTTCTCGCTGGGGAATATCTACGTGTGTGACTGAATTGCGTCCCGTGATCAGTCCCGGCATCTAGAGCGACCGCTGCAGGGTACCCGAGTTTTCTTTTCCGATACGTGACCCGGATTTATTCACAATCCATCGCACGGACCGCTGAAGTGGGCTTGGACATTTTAATCGACAGCTGAGATCGATGGCGAAGGCAAAGACGCCGGCCATTCTGTCGCCGCCCGAAAACGTTCCGCAGGAACATCACGGCATCCGAAAGCCGTTATCAGGGCCGTTTATTTATTCTGGAGCGGAGGATGTTCCCACACGAGGAGGAAGACCTCGATAAATTCATCATCGATGCCGCCGCTATCGGAAGCTGTCTCGGCCGTTAAGTTAAAAAGCGGCGGCAAAACTGGTTGCAAAGTGGGTGAAGTGCCAATGACCCTACGGCAAACGGAGATGCCAGAATTTTTTTTAAACGGTGACGTTCGCACATCATGAGCCGAAATTTTCCTCGTTTGAGTGTAACGGTGAAGCTCAATCCAATCTACACCGCAATTATTTTCCGGCACGTATCCGAGTCGTTCTCCCCGGAGCGTGTCCGTCGTTCGCGTGCAGCCACTTCCTTCAAAGCGCAAAGTACTCGACTCTCTCGAGTTATTGTGTGTCGATTAATTATTATCATTCGCAGTTGACGAGAGGGACCACGTCGGTTGTCCATCGATTCTTTTTGGAGACATCATAACCATTCTGGATATATTCAGAGTTTTCTCTCCATCAGATCAGAACGAATCAGGAACATCCTCGACGGACGTCATGAAAAGCAGTGTCCAAGGATTCCACTTCACCACAGTGATTAGATTTTCTGACTTGGGTTTTGAGCAGAACTCCCGATCGCGTGATCCGGCAAAGGTTCGGGACCCAGTACGCTCGTGTTCAGATCCGTTCTCGCCGACCGCGGAGAATTGAAGCTGACGCCGTTCGTACATGATTCGGAGCTCGGTTCGCGTGCGACAGCGTCCGAAGCCGACCTCGACGCCGCCTCCGGTTCCAGGGATTTGCAGACTCACCTTTTGCTGATTCGACTGCCTTGTCGGCTGAGAGAACTCCTACAACGAAAACAATTGACACCAATGAGAGCGTGTAGATATGTTTCGCCATGATGGGCCACGGAGCCCTCTGCACAGCTCCGGCCTTCAAGATGTCGTTTGAACGAATAGCCAGAGACCCTTCGTGAGTGTCGGAGTCCGGCAACGGGCCCGAAACGGTACTGGTGGAGGGTCCGGACCAAACAGTCCCATTCCCCTCTCCCGGGTCAACAGTCGAAGGATGAACAGAAGACAAGGAACCGCGGCTTCTTCCAAACAGAAGACGAGAAAACCATCCGAAGACTCGTTTTGAACAGAAAGCCAGCCCGGTAGACAGCTGGCTGTTCACCCAAAGAGAGCTCTTAACTTAGCCACCCGCGGAAAAACTGGTTTACGTTGCGCATCATGTACGTGGACGAGCGAGCGAGCGTCCAGCCAGCCAGACGACCAGAAACAAATGACGGTGGCGGAAAGCGACAAGGTTCGATCTGAGGTTCGGGCTCGCTGACCGATGAAAGGTTCCCTCTTCTGGATATTCCTAAAATCCGGAAGGAGGCTTCGGAATACAGAGACCTTGGCTTCTCTTGAGCGGGAGTTCCCGCGGAAGATTCTCACCGACAAACCCTTCGATACGATCCTGGGAATCTCTCTGAAAAGAGAGAGGATTCAAATCCGTGCTACGTGGCCGAAATTCCGGACTTTTCTCCTGCATGAAGTCGAAGAGAGTCTCGTAGGGACTATTGGGCGCCGGTTCACCGGTGCGGACTTTCGATTCGGAGCCTAGAAGAGCTGACCTGACTATTTTGATCCTGGAAAAAAACGGTGAATCTCCTTCCCGGAAACTTTTGCGTCAAGCTCTCGCTAGGCTACCGGGAAGCGTGCACTCATCACGTCGCCTTAGCGGAAAGAAGAGAAGGGATCGCAAAGCAGATTTCTTCTACGACAAGTTCTCCTTTTTTATTGCTCGCGTCAGACTGACAACGGGAGGAACCGCACCCCGGTCGTAAGCATGGTGATCGCTTCCTCTGTAGATAAATCGGAAATGCTCACGGCGCACCGGAAAGCGCCTTCTGGCGGAAAGCGGGTCAAATCCTATCGCACGGTTCTGTTTTAACTAGACTTCCAGGCCTGCGGAACTCGCATACGATGATCGCATGTAGAACCGGAAATCGATTGAATTGATTCATAGTTACTATCATTCCGGTCAAGATTATTTCTCTCGTCGCGAGGCTCCCCCTGGGCTTGTCTCCGGTTCTGAGACGGGCTCGGCTGGATTGTTTCCTCCGGCAGAGGGGCGACTTGGACGCGGCTATGTACATATGTAATTCACGGATATGTATTTACGTATTCCACCCATGTATATTCACGAGGATTCTCTGAATGATTGGATTCGACTCGTCGGTCGAAGCTCTTGCGCCAGCATCCTCAGTTCCAGATTCCCTCGAATCTCTCATACTGCGAATCCCAGTGACGAGGCTGAGTCGGAAATCGACGCGCGGAGGAAATTTTTTTTCGACGGTGAGCCAAAGCTCTCAGTCAGTGTTCGCGCATCATATGTCAACATGCATTGATAAGGTTGAACTTGTCCACTGCAGGAGGTCGCCGGTTCAAAATCCGAAAGCCGGTCCCTCTCCCGACGAGGGGGGGGGGGGGGACGATGGAATATTTGCCCTGCTTGCCCCATTGTTTCTGAACTCGTGGGCCAAATGCCGACGTCAGATGGAAACTCCGGGCTATGGCTGGCCGATTTCTGGTGATACGCTCTCACGCCGAAGACTCCAGAGACGTCTTCCGGTGAGTCCGGAAGAAAGCATGTGAGGGTCGTTCGCATTACGGAGACGAGCTTCGATATCGCGAACGGAAGTCCTGGCTCTGATCGCAATCTCGAGCCTCTGGGCACTGATCTGATAAATTGAGGCAGTATGAACGAAAAAAAATCGATCGTCTTCCGACAGGTACTATAGATACAGTCAAGCTCAGATGAAATGCTCCCGGATCGCTTGCTTAGCCGCAGAAGATCATTGACTCGCGCCACCTCGGAGAAGCCAGTCTCGGGCTCAGACAAGCCGCAATCTTATCTCCGTCGAGAACTTTTCACGCGATTTCATTAAACGCGAACTTTTCGGAATATTTCATCCAGAGTTCAATGCACCTTGGCGGGTTATATCCATATGACGTTTCCGTCAGATTCAGCTGCTCCTTGGCTGGGCGCGCATCTCCGCAGAATCTTCGGCTCTCTGCGTTAGGCCTACAGAAGATGTCGGAGAGATGAATACTCCAGACCCCAAAACCTCAGCTGAGCGGTAGGGAAGATCGGTCCCGGTTTAGAGAAGAGTCCGTTTTTTCAAAATCCAAAAGCTTGGATAGCGATTCCGACTAAAGGGAGATTTTGGCGCGTAAGCCGTCGCAGCATCCGGAGTTATAAGTTATAACGGCAGCAGCAGCATTCTTTGGAAAGCATGATGAACGCATCAGCTGCGCGTTCCGATGCCCGGTCCGGTCCGCACTGTCCGGGACGAATAAGAATTCCCCGTCGAAGTCCGCCGCGCTCCATGTCTCACTGTCAGAGATGGCGCGTTCGACCCTATGCCGCCGATTTCCGTAGACAAGGAGCGTAAGAAAAACGTCTTTTTTCCACAAACGAAGGAGAGCCCACAAGGTAGCGGTGAGATGGTTGTGAAGCTTCTCTCCGTCACCCTCCCTCCCGACTGCCGCCGCCGCCGCCACCGCCGCTGCCTCCGATCGGTCTCCGTAGAGAAGTTCGGCCACCCTGGGCCTCAATGCCTGCCGCAGCCAAGGAAAGTCGAGAGATGGTGCGACGAACGAGTGGGCCAGTAACATGCGAGAGTAACGGCGCTAAAATATTCTCGTCCGTATCTGTTGATCAGGTACCGATCTAGGAAGAGAACTCGTTCCTTCCTCTCGGAGAGTCGGCGAACGTGACTCACTTATTGGGCGAACAATGGGAGCTTCATTTCGACGTCAGCCGATAATTCGATGTAGATGTTCATGTTAAAGAGCTGGCAATAAAATCTTTTCCAACCCCAAGTACAGCGAAAGCAGCTCAGAATTTCGCAGTGGAGATGTCACCAACAGTGTTTCGCTCCACATGCGACAGCTGTTTTTCGATCAAAACCTTCCTTCGATGGCCATTTCCATCGATACGTGAGAATTTCTCGCGAGCGACATCCAGGACGGAGAAGGGAAATCTCTTCACCGGGCTTAGACCGCAGGGCTTGATAATCAGGTGACCGTTGTGTCAATGCATCCGATTCCACCGGCAAAATAACGCAATCGAGTTAGTTTCCCAACGCAATCGAGTTAATATAATTATTTCCCCGCCTCGTTCCGCCGGCGACCGGAACAACGATAGAGGTCTACCGAGCGAAGCTGCGGAGGAATAGTTCGCCGTCGCTTCCGCTGCGCGTCGTGTGCAGGTAGCCCGACGGGCACGAATCCTCTGTAGAGACCCCTCGAGAGTCCGAATGGAGGACAGATAAGAAAATCGTTCAGTGGCAGTAGTAATCGAGAGCGTAGAATTCGGTTGCCGATTGACGGACCGGCTGGCGGGCAAAGGATGTAGCGGGCGAACGATCCGTAGAGCGAGCGAGCGGACTGCACCAACGGAGGAGAAAGAGAGGGTGCGTTCCATGAATCAGCTGTGACCGCCATCTTGAAATGCGCCACCATTCGTCGACCGCTCCCTGAAAGGGACGCTACTTTGTGTATATTTGCGAGCTAGTAGTTAGGCCCCGAAGATTTTCAAAAGTTGGCCTATCACGCGTTTTGGAAGTACGTGCGGTTCGTGTCTTCCGAAATTTTCGTTAAAGACCGTGTCGAGTGAGAATAATCACAGTGGAGCCGACGCGACCGTAGAGGTGGAAGGCCGGTCCCACCGTAGACGATATACGCATCAAGCAAGATGGACCCAGTTGCGGCGCTCTGACTGACGACTTGGGAGACCACTTCTGCAGGTGAGTCCGTTCCCGCGGCGTAACATTAGTCGTCTATTCTGGACTCTGAGTCGAGCGGATCCCGTAGACGGAGACTCGGCATCGGAACGATGCAAGGAATGAGGATCACTCGAAGAGCTCGAATCGATCATTGCCGTTGAGAATGTTGTTGTGCTTGTAGTGGTGTTGGTGATGGTGGTATCGGAGTGTCTCCTGTTGTGTACGTCTATTGTGATCGGTGACGCCTGATTCGCCGAGTTTCTTTTCGCGCTTCGATCGGCCCGCGACTAAGTTACCGCAAGCGCTCCGTCCGATTCGCACCGACAGAGCTGTTCGATTCGCGGCAAACCCTATCGCTAGGAGAGATTATTTTGTTTCCAACTCTCGTTGCTTGTCAGTGGCGGGCCGCCCTGTTCAGTGTGTTGGTCGAGATGCTTTGCCATCAGTCGATGGCTGAAGATGAACGACAACGACAACAACGTCCACAACGACGACGACAACTGCGACAACGCCGACCGAATATATCATGAAGGTGTTACTTGACGCGGCCGTTAATTGGAGAAACTTCCGAGTCGTTGGGACTCGGTGCCTCGGACTGCGACGGATTTGAATGGCTGTTACCGCCACCGAGCGATTTCCACCGTGCCGGATTTCGATTAATGTTCATTTGGATCAGTACGAATGGAGGGATGCGATTGATGCGTATACTCTGTGAGGAGCTCGTTGATCGGATTTTAGTTCTCGAACGGGCTGAGACTAGGAATGCAGCCCCCCATGATACGGAGCAGCGTTAGGATGGGGGAATCATTCGAATTAGGTTCAATCGGATATCTATTTCAAATTCTACTCCTTAATCACATATTATTTCTCGTGGAGGGGTGATAGCGCCTACGGAGAGTCCGATCCGGAAGATTCCTTCTCGAATCGGGCGGTCACTAACCTCAATATCCGGAGAGGACCCCGCTCTATGACGTATTTGGAGGTAAATTACAGAAATTTCCGAACATGGAAAACTCGGAGGTTCTTCCGCTCATCCGTACGGAAATTAGCGGTTCTGCCCACTTACAGCGGAGGTTGTTCACTCCATGAGATCATCGCCAATTCTATGCAGACCGGGTTCGAGCCTCGATCCTCCCACATTCCAAGATTCTTCACGAGATCCAGACATGATGTTCCCGAGCTCTGGAGTATCCCATCAACCCACGCCGCGAACATGAAGTTTTCCACTTACCTCGTGGCGGGCCAGTCCTTCCCAAGTCGAAATCCGACGCTGTGCGTGATACGAAAGTTTCGTAACGGAACCCATCAATCCGCGTATCCACAAATATTGGCTTGGGACCACCCCGGTGGAAAGTTACCGTGGTTGCACCGGGTCCGGAAACGTTCGCGCGCATCTCGCGAAATAGAGCTTCAACCTCCTTCCTATTTCGACGGGGAGCGGGGAAGCGTCGCAGAAGATGTCATCTCATGCGCGCGCCTGAATTCGGCGTCAATGAATTTTTGTTCCAGCAGGGAACGACAGATTCGAGTATCATTCTGCGAACCTGGGAACAAGCTCCACGCAGAACTTTTGCGCGAGGGCTGGATGGAATGATTCCGAAAAATGTCGAATTGCCCCTCGATCCGCGGGCTGATCGGAACGCCAGAGTTCGATTCATACGGACAGTCTCGATTGAGCCCTGTCGACGCCGTATCCTGCTGAACGCGGGGAGTTCAAGGCGCGAACAATGCAGGACGCCGTAAAGAGAGGCGAATCGCCTCCGCGAATCCGAATTTCTGCTGGAATATTCTGTTTTCCATTGAACTTAACGATCTTGCAACTCTCGAAAACTCGGCGTTGCGGTGCATCCGGAGAATGTTGCTTCATGAGCTGGTGTTTCAGAGCAGCGAAAATGTCCGCCCTCACACCGAGCGCTGAAGAAGCTCGAAATTTTCCTCAACGCTGGGCTCAAATCGCCTCATCTCATGGTCGTTCTCAAAGCGGCGGCGGTGGTGGAAGCGTAAACACAGCCAGTGGTTTATCGGTACGTAGAAGTTGTGAATGCCATTATCGTAGAGCATGGTCAACTTGCCGCCCCGACTAATGCTCTATACCGTAACTCACCGAAAAAGCCGCCACGACCACCACCGTGCTTGTCTAAACAAGAGTCAATCAATCGACTTGCTGATCCATCCGACCGCGAATTATTTCATCAGACGTAAGGATTGCCGCCATGAGAGACAATCAGTCTGGCTCGAGCGCATTTCCGAGCGGGCTGGCGGCTGCGAGCTGAGCCCGCTCATGAGAAAGCTATTCTGCACTTCACAATTGAACATGTGCTTCTTTGGGTTCGACACTTCCGCGACGACGGGGCATGATTTCACCGGGGGTTCTCATCTATTCGCTCATCCGCCGAGCGGCGGATATTCGGAGTCACGAGCACCCCGAAAGTAGGGGGAGAATGTCATTGTCCAAAAGATTTCGCATGAGCCCGAGTTGCCCTATTCCTTCCTTACGTATGTGTTATCCCAACTTCCAGATAACGAATAGCCAGAATCTTCTGAATGGAGGCGCCTATCTGAACGGGAGTCCTTCGAAAGAAATCGGTCAAGCAGCCTCGGGACTGATCACGGCACCGGGCGGCGCGCACTACTATTACTACCAGAACTCGTCTCCTCAAGTTCGTTATCCACAAACGATGCCTCAGATCTACGGACATCCCGTCACTCTACAAGTTCCTCACGGACACGGAGGAGGAGGAGGAGGAGGAGGAGGCGGTGGCGGCGGTCATGAAATGTCTTCTCACGCTGGACACGGCCACGGAAGCATGGGCGGCCATCTTTCGGAACTTTCCAAAACCAACCTTTACATCAAAGGTCTCACCGAGAACACGACTGACCGAGACCTTTATAATCTGTGTACCCAGTAAGTTCGGCAATTATGTCCACTTATTATTATTCGCAGTTTGATGCCGCATCCTGTACTTTTGTCCGTAACGCCAATCGAACGATTGCAGTAAGTCATTCCTCCATTTTTTCCTTGAAGGTATGGCACGATAATATCAACAAAAGCCATATTGAACAAAGATACACAGAAGTGCAGGGGATATGGTTTTGTCGACTTCAACACAGCTTCTGAAGCCGAGAGCGCCGTGAAGGCTTTAGTTGCCCAGGGCGTCCAAGCACAGATGGCCAAGGTAAGTTTGCGGTCTAGCACCCCGTCCCGGCGGGTATGAGCTTCCGCCGATGGAGGAGTCGCGGCGGTCCCTGCCACCGATGATGTTCAGGGCAGATGCTCTAACGGGCCTCGTTCCCCAACAGGTGTCTCCCTCACAGAGTCCGAACAGTCAGATCGAACCGGATCCAACCAATCTGTACATAGCAAACCTGCCCGCGCACATGAGCGAACCGGATCTCGAGACTCTGCTCTCGGTGCATGGCAGTGTAGTTTCAACGCGTATTCTTCGCGATGTTAATATGCAGAGCCGCGGCGTGGGTTTTGCACGGATGGAGAGTAAGGAAAAGTGTGAGCACATCATCCATCTGTTTCACGGCAAAAAGCTTTCCGGTTGCTCGGAGGGTCTTCTCGTCAAGTTCGCGGACGGGGCCAACAAGAAAAGGTTCGTCTTGGCCCTCTTAATCAGTGTGGAATTTGTTTCGGAAGAATTGAAGAGATCACAAGACCCCCTGGCTCTATGAACGTCTCACCGATCGATCGATCGCTCTTCTACCATTTTAGACTTCAACAGCACGTAATGCACGGATACGGAGGACACGGCGGACCGATGGGTCACCATGGCGGCCACTTGGGTCATCATGGTGGCCAGCACAATGGCAGTGGTCCTGGACATCATGATCTCAAAGGATCAACCGGTGGACATCATTCGCACCACATGGGCCATCACAATGGCGCAGCTTCCGGGCAGCAGGGCGAGCACGGGGGCCACGGCAGACAGTGGGGCCATCGTGGTGCTGATGATGCCAATGCCCTGTATGGAGCCGATGGCATGGTGTCCCAGCACTCGCCGATCGGCATTGTGCCAGCTGGTTTCCACGTGTCTCAAGGGCGGGCTGCCTACGGCGCCCCCCATCCTCAGCTCAGTGGCGGCACACTGCAACTTGGAGGAGCACTCCAGTACGCGATGCAAGCAAATGGAATTTATGGTACGTAAGGGTGCCGTAGCTCAGCGGACGCGACATCGATACGGCGGCGTACCGTCAGTTCGACATAGCTGGCAGCGTGTCAGAATTAAGTTCAAAACGTTATGCGCTTGCTCTCCCAGGTGACCCGGCACTCTTGAGTGCCTACATGGCAGGACAGCAACAGCCTCCCGCTCCGGCACAATACATCATCCATTCAGGGCCTCACTCCGGGCCTCACGGTCCTCACGGGCCCGGTCATCCACACGCCGGCTTCGGACCCACGGCTGCGATTGACGGGGCAACGTTGTACGCTCATGTTGGTGCTCTAGGACCCGCTCAGTTGGCTCAGCAAATGCAACAGTTACAGATTGGAAGCCCTCACGCAGGTGCCGCCGGACATCATCTCGTTCAGCACTACAACGCTGCCGCTGGTGAGTTCAGGAACGCATCCTCACGTTTTTTTCCGGGACCCCTACCCGCCGTGGCGGTGATCCGCCAGCTCCGGCCGTGGTTGGGCACAAGCGGAAATTGGCGCGAAAGCGAGCCGATTGATCCGATCCTTAAATCACATCATCGTAATGATGCGACGCCCGACTGTCGGCAGAGCGGAAGGCTCTCGGGCAGGCTGCGTGGCGGCGGGTAGGCGGCGGGCGGTTTGCCTCCATCAAGTGCGTGTCAATGTGTCGGTTAAGGTCGACTCTCGAGGTTATTGACACGGATAGCGGTTCCGTTGACGACACCGACGTCGGACGGACGAGTGCGCGGCCAGCGAGCCGGCCGAGCCTGCGCTTGGAAGTATTCGAGCCACGAACGACGTAGACGAGTCAGCGTGGCGCTCAATGACAAGGGGCCCCTTTCGACAGAACGAACAAGTTTGGTGTTCGTCATCGAAAAGACCTCATCTATCACAGACGTTCGAGCGGATGATAATTATGGAATCGGCTGCCCGCTCATGCTCCGGCCGGCCTAAGGGAAGCCGTCGGAGGGAGTCTCGATAGCAGTCGGCGGCTCGCATACGTTAAAACGCTCTCTCTATCTGTTGCAGGGCAATACATGGCCGCAGCGGCCGCCATGTTGCCTTCGATGCAAGGCTCTACGACGAACGGCACCGACGTCGGAGGCTCCTCTGTCGACTCCGGTGTAGGCGGCGACCCGCAGACGGAATCGGCTCAGCAACAGGTACAGGCCCGAGTTCTACGATAGCCTTTTTCGGCAAAGATCCACCATAATTCCTATCGGCAATACCTATCTCAAGAAATCCTCCCGAAGAATCTTGACGAGCGAACACATTGTAACTGCAATATCACCTACAGCAGTAACATTGGACATCGTTGTGATTCAGGCTTTTTCGTCGGCAACCGGTAACCAGTCTTCGAACCAGTATCCGTCGGTAAACTCGACAGCGAATGGTGCTTCGAATGCGGGCGGTCCATCTGGGGGTCAGGGCGCACAGGCTCACAAGTGAACACGTCTATCGAAGTGTTGGCCAGACAACCCAAAAACTCCTGTATCACACACCATCGATTAGTGTACGAAAAGCCAGAAGGAAAACGAAAGACAGATCACACACATGAAAAACAAGAAACAGCAGCAGCCGCATCAGAAAACCAAGCAAACCCATCATGGTCGGTTCCATTCTCCTAGTTCTGACGACTTCCGTTTTTTGAAGCCAATGTCAAGTCTCTTGTCAAAGAGACAAGTCTCGTAGAAGCAGAAACAAAACGCCAAAAAAGTGTTCGATTGAGCGGGAGACGAAATCGCTCGTCCGAATTAATTCACTCGGAGCGAGCCGGAATGCTGGTCCATGACAAACAATCACTTGTGGGAGCGACAATACCGAATCGGTTGTAGAGGCAAGGGGAAATCGAGGAAATGCTAGTTTTCTGACGTTTCGTATCGATCAGCTGACTGCAAGTGGGGGTGACTGACTGACTGACTGGCTGGCGGGCTGAATGATTTCCTGACTGATCTGCTGGTTGATTGATTGATTGACTGATTGATTGATTGACTGGTCTAGCGATGGATCAACTAGTGCATTTTATGCTCGATGAATCGATCGAAGAATCAACCAATCAATTAATCAATCAATAAGTCTTAGAAAGGATCGGTGGACGCGATGAAGAGTGAATGGGTCTGTCTGTCCACCGATGGATCTCTCCGCCGATTGGATCGCTCCGATCCAGCTGCGGAGGGTTTGACCTCACTTATGGGGTTAGCGACGGTGACATTTTCGGAGGACTGAAGGATTGGTTCATTGCTTGACGGAGTGACTGATTTGTGCTGAAAGGAAACTCCGACCTTCCGGATTCTCGACCCGTCGAGATGTACTGCCGAGCGATTCGGCGGACTTGAGGCGGACGGATGAATCCCCTCCGGGTCCGGGTCTCTCGGATAGCGCATTTGTGTATATTTGCATGAGGGTGCGTGTGCTCAGAGAATGTGCATGGAACAAAGAATGCATGCATGCGAGAAGAGGACGGAAGAGAACGCAATTTTTAAAGAATCTAGGACGATGACAACGGCGACGATAATGGTGACGACGACGACGAAGATTACGATAACGATGATGATGACACTGTCTTCCTTGAGTCCAGCCAGTTAGAATGCCAGTCGTTATGCATTGTATACAGAGCTGCGAATGTATACCGCACCTGTGATTCCGCTTTGGTTAGGTTTTTTGTGCAGATCGGACGAACGTTGACAAACAATCAGTCAAAGAGACAGATAAACAAATATACACACATCCATCAGACATACATTCACCGTGCAGACATCCATCATGCATACACACACGCACGAATACAAACATACCTACCTACCTACCCACAAATATCCATACACACATACATACATTCAAACAAACTGACACCCGGATCAGGTCCTGTCATACCGTTACAGAGATCAACGGGAACGAAAAGACAGACAGACAAGCGAGTGAGCATCTAAGCAAATAGACCATGCGCTTAACAAGAATGCAAACAGACCAACCAACGGACAGGTAGACACCTAGGATCAAGCATTGCGGATAAGTTCTCTCGCTCGAGAGATTGTTCGGAAGAAACTGGAGAGAGCATAGAAACCTAGTTTGGAACATTACGTTAATGAATTATCATCGAGCCACAGATGTCGACAGACCGACAAAAAAAACCGCCACAGCAAACTGCTGCATCAGCAGTCGCAACAACATCCACAGCAACAACAATGACAACGATTACCGTCGTTGACACCACAACAGCGGTATAGGCGCGCATATGTAGTAGTGTTCAGGGTTGTTAGCATCACCAAATGCCTCCTCGACGGGAACTCTCTTCTTATCGATACAGAAATGAGCAGAGTCCGAAACGCGTTTGTCGCTTCGCGTCGAGAGATGCAACTTGATGACCAGGTGCGAGTGTGATCAAATAGACGCAAACAACCAAATTCGCTCTATTTTCCTCCTTTCCGCAAAGGTTTATTTTTCTTCTCCCGTATCGTCCCGTAGTCCTTCAAATGGTACACACAATCGTAACGAAGACTGGGGGACCGCCGGCCGGCATTTTGCTGAGAGTGTAAGAGAGAAGAGAAGGAAGACATGAAACGAGTTCGGGACTCGAGCGCGGTAAAGTTTGCTATCCTGCGAAGCCCAACAATACGGGTTCCCGAGGATTTCAAAAAGCTGATCGCTCTCTAATGAATCCGAGAACCAGGAAAGAATAGGTCTCATAAGTTTCTTCTGCAAATGGTTCTTGGATGATTGTGGGAGCCAGGATACTAGGTCTCTAACGAAATGGACTAGCTGTAGTTCCGATGATGATTAAGATGATGATGATGACGACGAGGAAGATGAAGGTGGAGATGATGTAAAGCGTTCCAGCGTGTAGGCAGAAAAAGGAAAAATCTTTGGCGGTATCTGAAGCGGTGTCCGTGTGAATCGTGTGTTCATTTCTGTTCGTCGGTGTCGCATTGGTTGAAGCTCAAAATTCTTCTTAGATTGAGAAACGAGAAAAATAAAATAAATCGGAACGATTTCTGCGAGTCAGCAATGAGTGCAAGGGTCCTCTATCTGTCTCTCTGTTCGTCTGTCTGTGACTGTACTCGGCCGTTTCCGCCGCCTGGAAATCGACGGGGGCGAATCCGCAGCGTTTGTTCGGTTTCCGCTAAGAAACTTCGCCAAAGTCGCCCGGTTGACCGGCCCATCTGTGCGTCGATCGGTACGTCGATTGCTAGGCGTCGACTGACGAAGGAACGAACGGTCGACCGGTCGGATCGACGCGTGCACGCCGGAACCGTCCCGTTGAGACGTCGCATTCGTTCTCGAAGAAGGGCACACACGCATACACACAGAGTAGCGTAAACTTGTAGAGAAAACATGAACAATCCATTTCGTGTCGGAGGTGGAACCATTCAACGATGTAAATCAATGTAAATGAAAATGATCCTCGTCAATATAGAACAAGTTCCACCGGCCTAGCCGCGTAGCGTTGCTCACATACGATTGAAGTCTTGGTTCGCCTCTTTTCGTTAGCTTTGTTGAGCTGCAGAAGACGATGGAGGGAGAAAAATAGATGGAGACGACGAACTTGTAGGAGAAGGAAGTCACACAGATTTCACGATTACCACCATTACCACGACCACCATCACCACATGACAACCACCACGATGACCGATTTCGAGCCCAATCGGCAAATCAAAGCTGCTCCTTAAGTGGATAATTCGGATCGCGTTGGGTAGAACGAGGATGATGATGTTGATGCTGATAATGATGATGATGATATCTGTGAATCGGTCGACTGAGCGATTGATTAAAGCTGGTTTTGAACAAGAAGTTGTCCCTTTCCTCTTCGCAATTTGTACTCAGGTATTCCAGGGGAGGACCTCCCTGAAGCGCTTCTCCTTCGTGGGAAGCTTCCGTTGGAGGTCCCGTCAGCTGGGGAGACAAAATCGCAGGAATTATTCTTCGATCGATGGTATAATATTGCATTCTCCCGGAGAAAGTTGTGAAGATTCATAATTGCAAATAAGCTATCCGATCGGATTTCGTCTGGGCAAGGCATTCGGATTCGAACAAAACAATTTTGAGATTGATCGATGATCACTCTGTCCGGTGATACTGAGCCCTGATGAATGAGATCCCTTACGAGCGCGTGCTTTTGTCATTCAGCGCACTCAACCGGAGGAGCAAGCGAATCGGTGCTCTCATCCACGTCGCAATCGGAAGGGCATTCCAGCAATCATTGATGACTCCCATGACGCTCCTGAAAAAGAAATTAATACGCCGACGTCCACGCTTGAAGTCCAGATGTTTGCCTGCGCATGCGAGCGCAAGTTCTTGACGGTAGGGGGAACGAATCTTTCCGACTGCCGGAAAACTTGTCATTCGAAACTGTGATTCATAAGCTGATGAGGATCAATTTGGCGGAAGTTTGTCTCCGAGTTCTCCGAATTCCCGCCGAACTAAGGAGGAACATTGAGAACTGATGGGCAATGGCATCGTTGGTTGGCGAAGACAATGCACATCATCAAAACAACAATGAGATCGACTGCTCAGCGCGTCTGGCTGGCGTCATGGAATTGCTTGAGCAGGACCTAGCTCGTCCCGGAGAGGAAGGATCCCGCTAATTGTAAGGGGTTTCGCCTGCCATTGCTCGCCCCTTTTCCTTGTTCTAAGAACCTTTTGCCAGCTGCGTCATTTAGTTAACGGGCTGATCTCAGGAGTAGTGCAAGGTTTCGGTTATAGGATGGAGGGAATCGCCTCAAAATTCCCATTCCTATCATGGAATATAGAAATAGAAATATTACATATTCCGATCGATGAAAGCCACAAGCCATCATGGAGGACTCGCATTTCCAGGAGAGAAACCGCGAATGTCCGAGCCCAAGAGCGCGACGAGTCCATCTAGCGTATTCGACGTCCGAAGGAATCGCCGCCAATGTCCCGGCTTCCATGAAGATCTCGCACGGGCTTGCGACTGGCGGGCAGCTCTCTGGGATGGTGAGGCAACGCATGACCGGGATGGTCTTCCGTGGCCATCGTCACCGAATTCCCTTACTGTCTCAACGTACGCATCGTCTTCTGGAGCGCCAAACTATTCTGATAGCTCCCCTCGCGGGGACCTGGATTCGTGCGAGCCCTTCCAAGTACGGGCGGTTTCCATCCACCAGGCTTCTCCATGCGGGTGCACCCCCAAAAAAGGAGAGAAGATTAGCAGGCACGTAACCGGGATTGCGGGAGATCGCTCCGGAAAGTTGGCTCGGAAGTGTGGAGCCAAGAGCTTCTCAATGGCTCGAGGATCACAGAACCAAAGCCATAATCCATTATTGTCCCTCCGGCTCCCCCGCTTGCTGATGACTTTCGAGCCGCAGGGCCGTGGTAGTGGTTTCCTAAGCACAGAGTTCCGCTGTCAAGCAAGTGGTGTCGATAGCCAACAGCCACAATCCGTTCCAAGCCGAAAGCTTTTCCGGGAAATCCGGGTAAGCCTGGAAGAGTAAATGTGTGTTCATCCCCAATCTCTCTCCTCCGAAGCCTGGGGTATCGGGCATTTTCTCACCTCCTTGGTGGTGACTCTGCGACACGCTCATTTCAGCAGTATTCCCCGACTTCTTGCTTTGTGCTCTTTTAGATCTGCTCGAGTGCTGTCAATCCCCACTAAGATCACGGGATCAGGCTTTTCCGTGAGCTTCGATCCTATCACGGTCTTCTTATGGGACCGGAAGAAATCATGCCATTATTGCGACCGACGACTCCCGGGCTCAATTTTTGTGCCCGACTGACCGGCACAGCTTCAGGGACGCGGACGGTCTCACGCAGTTATTCGTTCCTGAATTTAGCTATGAACTCTGTTGTTCCTGTAGGTATTCATCAAGAATGGATTATCTCCCGCCAAGTGTGAGCTACTACTGATGAGACGTTGCTCCAGAGACCAATATGAATATTCAATCATCCGGGATCTCATTCGGGATCGCGGGTCGCATCGATCCTCGGATATCTATCGGCGCTTGCTGATGGGAGCTTCGCCTTTGGGGATTTTTTCCAGCGGAGACAGCAGTTATCGGAAGAAGGGCGGAGAAAGGAACAGCATTGGGGTTGTTTCGATTCAGTCCACCCTCGAGACACTATAGTTCGGGAGGAAGAAGGTCCATCTACTAATAATTCTAGCCCTGCGCTGATTCCCGCTCATAGTCCTGCGAATAAATCCTTTAGGCTATCGGCAATCATCGGAGCTCTCGGCATTCGAGCCGCCCGCTGGGGCAAACGTCCGGATTCAAAATGTGGCGGCTTTTTCGAACGAGAGCGCCACTCCTGTTGTTTCATTCTACGTGGCTCGATAGGGAAGCGGCCATCTTGCTTGGGCTAGTCTGGCATCTGCCACCGACGGCATTCACTCACCGACTGTGAGGCGATTCCAAGCAAATTTGACTCTTTCTTGAGCTTTTCGCAAGCACGTCGGTAGACGCCGTCCGTCCTCTGGTGAGTACTTCGCTAACTCGAATCGATATACGTGTTCTCGAGCACCGTGGTCCCAACGAGCTCCCGGCCCGACTCCCGGCCGCTACCGCCGCCGCTTCCTGACGTGTGTCGTTGTGTTCAAGCCTAGATTACTCATGTAAGAGCGATAATAGCTTGCGAGCAACGCGCCGAGGGCGTGCAGTCGTCCGGTGGGCGTTCGAGGGGGGAAGCCGGCGGCTTCCGAGCGGGCTCTCGGCAAGGAAACGGCGATTCACGAGTTCGACCGCCTTGAATGACGTGTGCTCCCGTCGATTAGTCGCAATGTCGTTGTTGTGTGCTCTTTCGAACAGCGCCCCTCCGAATGTCGATGATCTCTTGGTTGATCCACGAGAGCTCGGAGAGGCTTCGCGGCACCTTGGGAGTTTATGAATCGTCGAAGTGTCAGCGTTCAAGCCCATCCACCTGCTGTGAGTGTCCGCCGCAAGACGAAGCACCGTCAGCGAAGGAGCCAGCCAAGTCGCTAGTCAGTCAGGCAGTCCCTCCGTCAGCCGGCAGTCAAAGTCGCGGGGCTATCTAGGCCACCGGGTTGAGTGCGGGCGGATAAACGACCAACGAGAGATTTGGGGTGTGTCTCACCAGCTGTTCCACGTACGATACTGCCGCGAACCGTTCCGAGGACGGACCGACCTGCCGCATCGCCCGACCATGCGTTCTCGAAGTCCTCCCGTCTCCCTCGACACGCCACTGCCGCCGCTACCGCCGCCGTGGAAGCGGTCGCCGTCGTCCCGTGAAGAACGAAATTCAAGCGGCTCGGTGCTGATTCCACAATCGGAAGATCACCATGGCTAACAAGAGGGAGCACCGCGCCCGGTCGAAATCGACATTCTCAAGAACTTTGTTTCTCGAGCGTGCGATGTGGGGAAATTCTGTCAAGGCGAACCGAGATTTTCGCGGTGACCGTAAAATCGTCCACTTTTCGAAAGGGTGTCCGACCTGTACCGATGCAGGATCATGGCCTTCCTGATTAAGTGGCTTGTACCGATGCCGGTTCGACTGTGAGATGTCTCGAGCCCCTGCTCGATGGCTCGCGGCATTCGGATTTGTTGAAGTATCTTACGTTGGTGAGTGTCAGAAAGTCTGACATGAGTCACCGTGGACTTGACTGGCGCACTGACTGACCGGCTACTTGGTTCAATTAAACGCCACGAGATGAGTGAGAGGAGACGCATGACGAAGACGGTCTTTGAGAGATCTCGCCGTCTCTGTAGAGCTACTCTCGCTGTATCGTGGGACGGGCCCTGGGGAGCTCTATTTCTTCACCGGGTTAATGCCGCCATCCTCTATCGACGCATCTCGAAGTGCTCGGACCGAATAAGTTTCGCATGCTCGAATTAGCTTCGCTGACGAGCTTTCGATATAAGTCGCGTCTTCTCCGATTACAGGCTGACTTGTTGTGAAACCTCGCCACAACCGCCAGGATGGGAAACGTGTTCGCAGGAATTTTCAAGGGCCTTTTCGGCAAGAAAGAGATGAGAATTCTCATGGTGGGATTGGATGCCGCTGGAAAGACCACTATTTTGTACAAACTCAAGTTAGGAGAAATCGTAACGACCATTCCTACTATCGGTTTCAATGTCGAAACTGTCGAATACAAGAACATATCCTTCACAGGTAAGCTCTCCCTTCTATACTCCCCTTTTGTCGCCCAATCGTAATCATTGAACGATTTACCCTAATCTGCGGGTTTCGAATCGCATTAATCTGTAACGAAAATCATTCTGTATTCCAGTATGGGACGTCGGCGGTCAGGACAAGATCCGCCCTCTCTGGAGGCACTACTTCCAAAACACTCAGGGACTCATCTTCGTAGTGGACTCTAACGACAGAGAAAGAATAGGTTCGTCTCAATCGCATGCTTACACTGAATTGGCGGGGGCGAACTCATTCGGAGTTGTACAGACTCTCCAGTCGCATCGATTTTTCGACATTCGAATTTCATTGCTGGCGAGCGAGAAGTGAATCTCCGCGAAACTTGAAACCTGGCGCGATGTGAATCGCGAAACACCAGCATGGATCGAGCATGACAGTAGACGGTCTATTTCTTCAACACCTGGTTCGAATGATAGCCGAGTCATTGCCCAAGCGGGTCGAAATTCAACTCAACTACAATCTCCCGCATGGGCATCCGAATGTCCCGAAAACATCTAGACTGAAGACTTCGCTTCGCAAGGTTCCCCCCTCCCAGCTCAGAATTCTCGAAAGAGGTGACCTGTACTCGATTCAGGACCTTGGCGATACATCGACGTGAAATCAATCCGCCATCTTAAAACTTTCCCGATCAGTGTTCCTGCGTCTGAGACCTGTGGATCACGTGGCTGATATCGATATCCACCATAAGCGAAACTCCCCAGCTCATACGCGAGTTCATTCTGTTTGAGGCGATGCTCGCTCTTCGATCAGATTGTTGCAAGCTTCTCCCTCGATCGGCACTCGGAATCTGAACGCTCCCTCTCGCTGCTTAGCTATCGATTGGAGTCCTGCCCGGATTGCTCGAAAACAGAGAGCCTTGACGCTCCCAGGAGAATGAGCGTACGAGCGACTGGGTCCCAATGCTGTTCGCCAGTGGCACCGATTTTGGTTTCGGTGTTGAACATTCCATACCATGCTCTGCGATTATTCTGTTGGCGGCTTTTTGAGACTCGGCGGTACTCTAAATCTCGGTGCTGCGAGCGCTATGCTATCCATGACTCCTTCCGGATGAATGAGACCCGTCGGTTCCTCCCAAAAAAAAACTGTTCGTGATTGTCGGGGTTTCCCGTTTCCGGCTCTCCCGTGGGAGTTGCTTCCGCAAGTTGCTCAGCCGGGTGCCTTCGCAAAACTCACTATATCTTTTTGAGTATTCTATCACTATAACCCGGCAAGAACGTCAGTTTCTGGAAGACTTCGTCGTTTCGATGTCCCCCTCGGGACTCGTCGGAACGACATGGACCGGGGGGATTTTTTGCACGAGTGACTATCAATGGCGATCCGTTGGGGCCGGGGTCGAGGTTAGAGGGCTAGGCCTCGAGAACTTAATCGGATTTGAATTCGTGCCCGCGTGTAATCCCTGCCTGATCTCTCGGCCCAACACACGCGGATGACATCACGCTAAGCGCGCAATGATAACGCCCGCGACTTCTCGAAAACTTCTTCTCCCCTACACCTAACCGTTACCGAAGACCCATTCGTCTATCCTACGCGGAGAGGAGAGACATGAGAGGTCTGAATCTCCGAGTGAATGCTTGGATACGGATTCTCGAAAAGCACTCCAGCTCTTAGGGCATGATCGTTCGTCGAGCACTGGGTCCAGACCGGAGCTTCGAATACGACCTCGTGTGCCGTAGGGACGCGATTGTCGGTCAGTAGAGCAGTGTTTCTCAAACTGGGTTCCACGGAACCCTTGGGGTTCCGGATTGGGCGCAACCCCAAAGTCCACCTGCGGAACCCCTACGGATCCCCTGGAGGAAAAAGTTTGAGAACCACTGCAGTAGAGCATAAAGGCACGCCTACGCCGGGATTTCGTTTCGCGGAGCAGAACTCGCGCTGCCGTCAAGGTAGTCGATCGAGGTCGTTCAAGGTCTGAGGCGCTGCGCTGCCGAGACGGAGCGTAGCGCGAGGTTTCGAGTGCACCTAACGAGCAGCTTCCCCGCATCTACCGAGCTCGCAAATTCATGTTTCATGGTATTCATTCCCTTCTCAGGCGAGGCGAAAGAAGAACTTATGCGAATGCTGGCCGAAGACGAACTGCGAGATGCCGTGTTGCTCATCCTTGCCAACAAGCAGGACCTTCCCAATGCTATGAACGCCGCCGAGATCACTGACAAGTTGGGTCTGCATTCACTAAGGAACCGAAATTGGTAAGTGAACTATGCATTCACTGGCATACTTGAGGAGGTTTCGGAATGGTGATTGCGCCGGAACGATGTCGATCCTCAGAAAACCCCTCTCGCCCGCAGGTACATCCAAGCCACGTGCGCCACATCCGGCGACGGACTTTACGAAGGTCTCGACTGGCTCTCGAACCAGCTTAAGAATCAGAAGTGAGCGGGAGCGCGACGACTTCAATCGTCAGTCAATGAATCAATCAATCATGGAGGAGGAGACGAGTGCAGTTAGATTTTGATGGATCACGTATACATACTAGCAAAGAAAACTAAAGGACGTGGAAAACAACAACAACAGACAAGAAAAGAAAATGCTTGTAAGCTAACCGACGACGACGTGAAATGAAGTGGTTGATTGCTTTGTATGATGCTGATGATCATGATGATGATGACGACGGCTATGATCACGTTACCGATCATCACGAAGAAGGCAGCAGCGGCGGCCGAGCGACGGGTGGGAGGAGACTACTATTACGACTATTACTTCAACTACTACTTTCGAGGGAAAACATGGAAGCGGTACTCCAGGAGATGTGACGCGGTCAATCGTTCGGGCAGGCAAACAGATGATTGGAGAAACTGACGGAGGGACTGATTGACCTGTGTGAGAAAGAGTCGGATTACCCTTCCGAGAATGTGTATAACATCAGATGGGGTCTGCATCCAGCGGGGATTCGCCGGGGAGGGTGGTGGGCAAATCCGAGGGAGGCAAAGTGGGAAGCGCGTGTGAGGACGGCGACCAACCTCAAGGTTCCGCCTCTTTAGTCGTCATCTGGTTTCCATCATTCGGTATGCGTCCGCAAGTGTAATAAAGTTGATTTGGATCGCGAATCCGTGACCAGCGCCTGGAGATTGGACTTCTGAAATCGAGGGAAACTCTAAACAAATGATCAGACATCTTCGTGGTATGCATCGCGGGTGACCGAGTCCAAAGAATTTTGGTCTTCACATTGTCATGTGCTTGTTTTGGATGAACCTTAACCTACATACATAGAAATAAACCAACCAAACAACCCTACGACCACACATTGAGACGCGAGGGCAAAATAAATTTGCAGACCTAAGTAAGATAATTTCTGGTATGTGTGTGAGCGTTCGAGTGCATGAGAGCTGTGTACGAACTATAATAGAACGGGAAAAAACGTGATCGGCGACTCGGCAGTAGACCACCGCAGTGATTCTCCTTTATGCCGGCGTGCGAAGGATGTTCCTGGAGATTTCGACCCCGGATCGCCGGTGATTGGGAGCAGCGGTCCGCGTTCGGGTACCAAGCACCTGTCCAGTGGAGAAACGAACCCGGAATCGACACATTCGAATTTCCCCCACTCGACTGAAACTCCTTTTCCCTCCTTCTTGGAACAATTCAAACTGACCTTTGATCACACGTCAATCTGTGTCTGTAATCATCGTGCATATATCGAGGCTTATAAAAAAAGGGAAACGAGAGCATCCATAGATACGGAATATTTCAAAATAAATACATGAGAATGATGGAATTCCGCGAAACACTTCTTTAGGCACCTTTTCCTTGAGCTTTGAGAAACTCTCGGTCAGTCAAATTGAACTCGAAATATCCCCTCACTGCAGAGCGATTATATTTCAATAAAACTATGTGTCGATTACAGCTCCCTACACGTCACCCATGAGTCATTCGTCGATTTAAGATCCTCGACTCGGACCTGACGATCCTGAGAATCTGAGAATCGTAGCCTAGATTTTGGGTCCAATAATCTGACGGCGAACGTGCTGCTCCTAATGCGTAGAGTTGTGTATTCCGTAGACGCTGTGATATGTGATCGCTGAACTCATATCCGATGCTCTAAGACAAGCCTTGTCGCTCGGCAAATCACCATTCTCCGAGGAACCAACTCCGTCGGGAGATCTCTTCGAGCTTCGACCTGCCGATGGTTTATGTATATTCGATGGCGGCTCAACGTTGTAGACAGAAACGTCCGCTGTCGCAGAAGCTAATGTCGAACATACATGAATGCTCCGATCGGTTTTCCGACTCTCATGTCGATAGCTGTCTCGTACGGTTCCCACAGGGCTGCTTTGCTCGCAATGTCAACAATCGATCTCAGGATGGATCAGGAGGCCTGCTAGACTTGGGAGACACTCGACAGTCTTAGAGACGGGTCCTGAAAGGAGCACTGAGGAAATATCGGAAGTTGGCGAGGTTCGTACTGGCAGGCTTTGACCAACTAATCCCATGTGGTACAATAATCCCATGTACGGAGCGAGGGCTGGCTCACACATATCATATCTACCCACGGTGGTATTTTGGTGAGCAACTGGAGCTCGCGTGCTAAATTCTGACTTGCAATTTCCTCCCACTGAACGCTTAATGGTCGATTCGGGTAGGCTCGGCGAAAAATGATAGATCAGGTTGCGTATAGTGTATTATCATGACGGGAGAGATCTTCCTCAGGAGAGAATCTGTTGGCACCTAGAGCCGCGGAGCGCACTCATTATGAGGAGTGGGTCCCTCCTCGACGCTCTTTGTCGGAAAACAGGCAGAGCATTCAGAGTTTCTTAGACCCATCGGGTTCGGAGGTGTCGAAAGAGGAAATTGGCCCCGGTGAGTTCCTCGAGCTGAGGACAATAAGAACCGACGACTCACGCTGGTTCTCGATGCTATGCCAATGGTGGGTAATTCACACAAACTGCGTTTTACCGGATTGAGCAAAGCGGTAGAGATCGGGATACAGCGTTGCCGTTTTAGCCAATACTAGAGACCAAGAACTTCGAGTGGACTCGTGATTCTTGCTGACTTCCATTAATGCTCCGTTGGAGAAGGTCCGCTCCGCTGCGGAATTTCGTGGCAGCCTCCATTATGCCTTGAGCGCAGCATCATCGTTGGACGTCGGGCTCGAACAGGGAATGAGCTCGGCCTCTAGAGGTTTTAGGTGCACTCATTGTCAGAGGACTCTTCCGAAATCTATTTTTAGTTGAACCGCGTGGAAAGCACGTGGGTACCTTCCTTGTCATCGGATATATCGGGATCGAGTGTATTTAGATCGCCCTCCGGGAAAACAGACTTGCACACATTAGCAGATGGCATTCTCTCCAACGCCCTGCGAGTCACTGCGTAATTTTTTCGGAAGGCCGTCGTCATAGACGCTTCATTGAAGACAAACAGCCGACTGGTCCTTGCATCCTGAGCGAATTCGACCTGCCTGTCAGAAACTGCTTCGTGTGAAATGTTTGCAGAGTCGGATCTTGCGAGCGAGGACGACGATTACACGCTAGTATGTTCTCATGCATGTCTATGTTCTCGTTCAGCCTTCGGGTGAATTTCGAGAAATGGGTCCCACGTCTCACCATTGGACTGGGGAACCATCCGGTCGCATTGCGGAGTTTCACATTCAGCCCGTAGAATCCCCGATAAGGTAATTTTCAATGCGGTCTTCAGTTCGCGAGTTTCCTTTCTTTCCTCCCGAGGAAGGAACGAGTTCACAGACTTCATCGATTGGTTGGACGATATTTATCAAGCGAGCGGCGATCTCGACCCTCCTTGCCGTTCCATTTTCGAAATTTAAATGCTGAAATTCATTGGAGCTCAAAAATATCATCTGTTTGCCTAGGACTGGCGCCCGAGCCCGTCTGTTCGTGAACTCGGTGGGTACGACGCGTTGCGACGCCTTTCTATCTATCCATGGAGCGCAACTTCTAGAGCTAGTGAGGCATCCTGGGGCCTGAGTAGCCTTCGAGAATGACGTTCGTATACGTCGGTGGTGATCAGGAGCGAGAATAGAATTTCCAGTCTTCCCCTGGTGCGTAGCGTAGCCCAGCCTGATCGGCGGTCCGAATCGTGATCATGATCCGAGGTGTGCACCCCGCCCGACTCTCGAGTCTCAAGTGGCTCGTAGTTGATGAATTACCGCGACATCCTGATCCATTTGACGGGCGACCGGCTTCCCATGGCGGCTGATTGATCAGATCATCCTGAATGCTGGCGACTCATGACGGGAGACTGACCGATCGAGGGTCGCCGCCTTAGCCACGTACATTCGTGTGCTTCGCACGCTCTGGGCCAGGACAGCTATATCGACGGAATGGCTGGGCACCGGATCACGCTGGCTGCTTTGATCGCACGTCCCTTCGTTCCTCGGGGTTCCCTTTCTGCAGGACCTTTCCCGTGCCCTGCCTCGATCGCGTTGCCTTCCTTCTTTTCTTACCGGATATTTGTCCGATCGAGCCACCAGATGGCGCCCAGCTTGCAGCTTCCATCCTCCTGACTCTATTGGTGGAAACTCGTCTTCCTCCGTGTGTTGTGTCTGGCTGTAGCCTATCTCACAGACTGTCGTTCATCGCGCATCCGTTAGCCTGTCCGTGCCATTCGTGCACGTAGCACAAAAAGTCCCGAAACAAAGTGCACGCCGAAACGAGCGGACACTATCGAGCGAGCAACACGGCTCGATTAGCCGCCTGGACGATCAGGATGGCAGCAGGTGGTGTCTCCAGCTATCCGTCGTAGCGCTCGCGGGACTTCGGACCGGCTCGAAAGTTTTGCGTCGTGTCGGTGTGCGGGATTTGGCGTTATTCACGTCAAATCCGACGGTGCAGCACTCCTCGGGCTGCAGGCAGCAACTGCATCGGCATAGGGTCGCGCATTCTTCCGTACCTCCGACCGTAGGAAGCTTCGAGCGTTCCCCTCCCACATTTCGGCGACCGAGGCGGTGGAGGATTTAGTTCCGTCGTCAACTTAACAATAATCGAAGACTACAAATCGTTTCTCGTCAACAAGAAAGGCCAGGGAGTTCAACACTCAACAATAAGTGATTCGATTCCCATCGTGCACGACCAATGTCGGTGTAGAAGTTGTTGTTGTTGGCCCGCTGCTATTGTTGCCACCGTCGGAACGTCATCAGGAGCAGCATCATTATCGACGCCACCCGTTGTGCACCTCATCGTCACCGTTATCGTCATGCAGTGACTGCCGAACGTCTCAACCGGCGTCGAACATCAGGAACTCGCGCTAGTGCAATAGCGTAACAGGCCTCTAGCGGCCCTCGAATCGAACGGAAGTCGGACGCGAATCGGATAGCTACCGGAACGGTCCTGTCGACAGGAACTGTCGACGCAGGAGGAATAAGGCGGCAGCTCACGGTTACGCTCGGACCGGGGCGGATTGGCGGCGTGGAGATGTCCATTTGAGCCTGTCGGAGTTAGATGGTCGTGATCGTTCGTGTTGGTGAATGGTGAGAGGAGAAAAGCGACGCTTTTGATGAGAGGCTCCTTTCTGAGATGTATACTGCGGCGTTGAATACCTCCAACTTGAAGTGGTCGCCCTCTCGAGGCTGCCGCTGCTCTTGTTCCAGCCCGTCAAGCTGCTGCTGCTGTTGTCGCTGTTGTCCTTCCGCGCACTCGAACCGAAAGGCTTGTGCGTCGGCGATAAAACATTATTATGCTCCGACGACAGGGCAATGGCACCACATCTTCGCAGGTTTCGTTGCAAACGTCATCTAACGGTCGAAAACCATCAAGTAATGCTGGCGGCTGGAGACTCGACGACTCCGAAGATTCGGTACGCGAGGGGCGGACGTCGTTGGCCGGACCTCCGAAATCACACGAGACTGAAGCCGTCAGCCGTTCGAATGGACGCCTTTTGTCGCTCAGCCATACAGAACAACAACAACAACAACAACAAGAACAACGAGACAACAACAACACGGCCACGCAAGCACATGTTTCCCACGCGTCAAGCCAGAGTTTGATCGTTGAGCCCGCGAGCAACGAGTTCGCGTTTCTAGACACCGGATCGCTTTACTCACGACTTGACTCCAATCTGGCCGGCGACGTTCTCCGCACGCGTGCCAGCCTCAACCCCGAAACCGCACAGCTTCGTTCACGGACCACTTCGAGATCGAATTTATCCAGTTCTCGAGGCCTCTTCCCCGACCCGTCTCCGCAAGCGGAGAGGACCGTTCTGGAAACGGTCACGGGAAAAGTCGCTTCCGACCTCAACACGAACCGTTTCCTTCTGCCCAATAGTCCCCACATGACGGCGTCGTCGACGGCGGCGGCGGCAGCGTCGAGCTCTCACGGACGAGCAGCCTCTGCTGTTTCTGTCGACGCGGGCAGAGGAACGACAGCTGCCAACTCGGCTGCCGGGGGCTCCGGAGCGGCCGCCCCGTGTGCCGCGGGCGCTAATTCCGCTAACAACGCTAACGGTAGCCAGCCGCCGTCGCAACGGAGCGATCAGGTCACCGTGGAGATTTCCAGGAAAACCCGCGAGCAGCGGCGCAAAGAAATAAAGAAAGAATTTGAAAAATGGGACCCCGGTGAAAAATCCGGCTGTCGATGGACGTTCGTGTTCGATCCGTCGGGACGTCTCTGCTACTACTGGTCGTTAGTGGTCAGTATAGCGTTCCTGTACAACTTCTGGGTCATAATCTACCGGTTCAGCTTCAGTGAGATCACCGCAGAGACCCTACCGATATGGTTCACGCTGGACTATATGGCCGACTTTCTCTATGTGCTGGATATATTTTTCCATTTTCGGACTGGCTACCTCGACGAAGGCGTGTTACAGACAGACGGTGAAAAACTCCGTAACCACTATCTCAATTCAACAATGTTCTACATCGACGCACTGTGCTTACTGCCATTGGATTTTCTCTATCTGTCGATACATTTCAATTCGATTCTACGAGGTTTCCGACTCGTGAAAATCTACCGCTTCTGGGCCTTCCTCGACAGAACGGAACGGCACACCAACTATCCAAACGTGTTTCGTGCAATCAACCTCACCCACTACGTGCTCGTTATATTCCATTGGAACGCTTGTATATCACACATTATCGACAAGAACGACGTATTCGGTTCGGGGGAAAGCTGGTTTAACAACTCGATGTGCGGAAATGACACTGTTTGCGAGTACCTGCACGCATTCTATTGGTCGACACTATCGTTTACTACGGTCGGAGATCTCCCGAGACCAAGGACCAAAGGCCAATACTTGTTCCTCATCATACAGCTTGTTCTAGGATTGTTTCTATTTGCAACGGTGCTCGGCCATGTTGCCAATATTGTGACAAATGTCAGTGCGGCGCGCAAAGAGTTCCAAGGTGAGTTCCGATCGCCCCCAATTCCTATTCCCGCATCTCTGTCGAACTCAATCTCCGGATTCGTTTTTCGCCGGATAGAGAATCTGGAAATTCGGGGGAAGCTCAAGCTTCCATGGCTCTACACGACTCGTAGCGAAACATCGTTTGTCGATCGCGAGAACGAGCTCCTGCACATTAACGAGGGAATATCGCCTTTCTCGTTCGCTTTGTCCCTTTACTGTTCCACTTCCTTTCCCGACGCTAATGAGCGAAGAGATTATTGTCAATCAGTCGATCCGAACGGCTATTCGGCATCGGATTGCTTTCTGCCGCTATTCCAATCCTCCGCTAGTAAAACCAGTGAGGGAGATGACGGTTCAGAAGTCGTATTGGTCGTAGACTGAGAGAGGATTTACGTTAGGAGACTCGAGCGACGAAGAGGGGCAACGGGCAAACGGAGAACAGCGGGTTGAAAAAGGGCGAAGCAATCAGGCGGGACCCGACTCCTTGTCCATGTTGGTCGCTCGGAACGAGTCAGACTGGAGGGCCGTTGGCCGCCGACGCGCAGACGGCAAACTCACGGCTCCATCGAGAGAGTTCTCGCGACCGAAAAAAGATCTCTCGGAGTCAGAGTTCGTTGGAGTTCATCAAGGGGAGACTAATCGTCGTTCGTCCTCTATCCGACGCCGTGCCGTGTCGACGACCAGACCGTCGAAAAGGGAAAAGGGATTGAAACAGAGACGGGTAGCAGTGTAGGGCCGAGCTCGACACTATGTTAAAGGAAGCAGAAAGCTGCGAATTGAAGCCTGACGAAAATGAACTGCGCTCTCTGCAGCGAGGTGGAACAGTGAAACGAGTCTTTACGGCGAGCGTTGCGGCTCCTCCCCTTTAGTGCGTGTCCACCTTCAGCAATGTTACGGAAGCTGTACTCCGAATCCTACGTCGGATCCCGTCACAATCGCAGCGAAGAGCAGTAGGGAAATGAGTACATGAGTTGAGCAGACTTGGGAGTGAACAATGAATCCGAATTGGGAGAGGGATTCTCCTCGGAATATTTCGAGACGATCACATGGATTGACTCACGATCCAAAATAGCACCATCGAATGAATGTGATTCTGGAGACTTCCTCCTATGAACTAAAAAGCTTTCCACCGAGAGCGTTTCGGCCAATTTTTTGTGCGCACTCACGCTTCCCGAAGATGGACTTGGAAACAAAACTCATTGATTGTGTATTGTGTTCCGCAAATGAGCCGGCAGTTCACTCCGTTTGAGCTCACGATCGCGGGCTACTTGCCGGAGGAATTTCTGCGCTGACCTCGACTATGGGCTCGCGACCGCGCTCCGGATCTTCTTTCGAAGTTTTCCGTTTACCATACTGTCGACTACGTCCCGTCGACTGGCTAAGGGATAAATACTATCGTCATCCATGAACCAATATGAAACCCGCGCGGGGAAGAAGCTCAAATCCGCTTCATTCGTTTCACGGTCATCTCAAGGAACGGCGAAGAATCTCATGAAGTGAATACTCCAGCCGATCCGCTCTCCAGGACTTGTCGCCTCAGATGAACTCGAAGCTGAAAGAGATCTCACTCAGACCTGGCACAACCCCCCTCCCTCCCCGAGCTGATGGCTGGGCGAATCGGGCTTCATTTCCGTGCGACGCTCCAGTCGTCGAGAGGTCTGATCCGATCCTGTTAGCCGATGGTTTTTACGTCAATCTGAGTGTGAGGGGAGAAAAATCGTATCCGAATCAAAGATTTTTTTCCCGACGGAGAGGTCTTCAGCCTCGAGTGGCTCGCGTCACCAGACGCCAATATTAGCTATGCATAATTGGCTCGAGGGCTTATTTCCCTCCCGGGCTAAGCTATCGCGCCCGCTCGTTTTTCTATCTGTCCCTCTCGCTGTGGCACATGGCCAGTCCCCTTCCTGCTCCTACTAATGAATAATGTACGCCCTTTCCGTCTTTGCGTTTTCTTCCTCTGTCTCGTTCTGGCCGTCGGGGGAACGACTCCATCCCGAACGAGTATTCTCCTTCTCTGTCCGCTCGTTGTTTCCACATTCTAATTAGGACGCGGTTCGTTTCGGAGCTTACGGGCTCGGGAACGCACTGCCTCAGGCTCGGTTACAATACTTGATTGCGTATCACACCAAATTATTTACCCATTTCAGCGAAACTGGACGCCGTGAAAACCTACATGAGGATGCGCCACGTTCCGGATCATCTGCAGAACAAGGTCATTCGGTGGTTCGACTACCTGTGGATGACTCAAAAGTCGTCCGACGAGGAGCGCTCCGTCGGCTGTCTTCCGGACAAACTCAAAGCCGAAATCGCAATCCACGTCCATCTCGACACCCTCAAACGAGTGGAGATCTTTCAGAACACCGAGGCAGGCTTTCTCTGTGAATTGGTGCTTCGACTTCGGCCCGTGCTCTTTTCGCCTGGAGACTACATATGCAGAAAAGGTGGGTGTGCTGCCCAACTATTTCCACTCGAGGTTCGGATCCCGATTGTTTCAACGGGGAACGGTATTCCAATGTGGACGGCGGGTCCGCCCAACCGAAGTATCCTCAGTCAGCTCGGGCATTCCGTTTTATGCATTAGACGGGCACATTCCACGGGGATCTTATTCAGGTCTCTATATTTAAATCGCGTCGTGGATGCGGCTCCGCTTGCACGATCGCTCATAATGCACCAACGTTCTCCAACAATGAAACCGCGATCCCCAAGACATGCATCCCCATGCATTATGAGCGTTCCGCATGAAAATTCGAGCTCCGCTAATAATTAATATTCGTAGCAGCGAGGGCCCGTGTGGCTACGCGGGCCTGTGAAATGTCTCATGAGAGCGCTCTCCGCTCGTGGACTCTCAGCCATTACGACGGACTAAGAGTGTTCTGGTAGTAATGGTGGTCGTCATCGTTTCCACCACCATCGTCGTTTCCCTGACTCTATCCCTATTCCGGGGACGCGAGCAAAATACGCCACTGACAGCGAATTCTTGAAACGGCTTTTCACGGTCGTACTCATCCGGAAAGCGATGATTAGATACCCTTTTTCGAGCGGTCCCATCACACGTCCCAACTGGGTGAGCGCTCGACACCCTCACGGTGGTTCGGACCGCGGTTCCCATTCGGTGTGGAAGTCTGAGCGAAGAGAGACAGTGAGGAGAAGAGAGCGAGAGGGAGAGAGACGTATCTAAGATCTTACCAACCTCTGACACGTTGCTAAGAGATGTTCCGTTTGCTTTAATTTTCAGGCGAGGTTGGAAAGGAAATGTATATTGTGAACAGGGGCAAACTACAGGTCGTCGCCGACGACGGAAAAACAGTGTTAGCTACACTACGGGCCGGTAGTTACTTCGGAGAGATCTCAATCCTCAACATGGGCACTGCGGGGAACCGCAGAACTGCCTCGGTCCGCTCCGTCGGCTACTCAGATCTGTTCTGTTTGTATAAGCACGACATGTGGGACGTGCTGAAGGACTATCCAGCCGCCAGAGTGCGACTAGAAGCAATAGCCGTGAAACGCCTAGAAAAGTACAAAAAGGAGCCCATTAAGAAAAGTAGGTGGTTGACGCCGCTGACCCAAGTCCACTTGGCACAATCCTACCTCACACATCCGAGCGACTACTGTGACGGTTTACCGCTCACACCCAACTATCCCTATGCGCGCATGCATCCGCTCGACAGAGCCGCCAGATCTAGGGTCTACGCTTCCGAAGCCGGACTCGGCGAAGAAATGCTTGAGCTTGAAAAAGGTCTGTTAGCTAGCTAATTGCTCTAGTAACGAATCGTTATTAAATCTACGATAGGCGCGTAGACTATCGTAGAAGGGACTACCTAGATCTCGAGCCTGGTCTAGTGTAGCGCGATGGCGTATGGTGTTGGATCGTAGAAAATTCGATCGGTTGGTTGTAGACGTGGTACGGCTGTATCGATCGGCCACCTGCGAACGGATCTGATAGCTTATTTCTTTTCGGTCTTTGAGTTTCCGCCAGAAAATGCATACTTTCGGCGTTCGGCGAATGAGCGCGCAATTGGGGCACTGGGTTTTTGGAATCGAATCGTTCGAGCCACGAACTAGCACAATGCAATGCCGATGGGACATTGTGCGGATCGTTCCGAGATGCAAAAAAAATACTCGTCCTGTACTCGTTCGATTCTAGACGCTTACTGTAGACTTGGCCTCGGAGAAAATTCGCTTCTCTACTTCATTTGGTTTTCGTCGATGGTTTAACGATTTGTTTTCGCGGTGATTCGTGGACCAATGAATCGTTTTGCTCTCCGTTGCTGCGAGCTGGACTCGGAAGTGTGACGTGTGACATGGATTTTCCGATCTATTAGGCGTAGTCGAGGTGTGGAGGCTAAATCTGATGTGCGGGTGGAGGGAATCACTCTCGCACACACGGAAAGCGTGGACCCACGCTAGAGCAATCAAAAATACACTTAGATACGTCCGTGGAAACTGAAAGGAATGACGGAAAGGGAGAACGCTCGGCATTCGATCTCGATGAGAGACCATTGGTCGAGCTGGGGCTTGTAAAGGGCGAGTCGCTGCCATCAGATGGGGAACCCGGGCCGAGGCATGGTACAGATATCCTAGGCGCAATCAGAACAGCCGAGCAGACGCGTCTCTGACCTGGGTACGCCGAAAGGATTCACCCAATAGTTATTGATGGCGTATCCAATGTTCGCGTCTCTCTATGCAGATGTCGATATTCGACCGTCTGTGTCGTTCGGACGATACGTGGTCGTGCGTGTCCTCGTTCTTTGTAGTTCCACCTTGGGGCAACGGTACGCACGCACTCGCTGATAAAATTACCCCTGAGCAGAGCCTCGCTCCAACCTCAATGAAAGCTCATTATCCGTGATTAGCGGGGTGGTCGAAGCTCCTTCTTGAAGCGAGAAGCAAATTCAAGATCATTTCAAGATTCGCGACGCAGGAAATCCCTGTCTTCTACCCTGACAACGATTTGTCTCTGGGGAATTCTGTCGCTGGTACCTCTCCGACGGGTTCCTCAATTAGCCGACTTCTGCTCATTGCACAACCCGTCCGCGATCGGAGGCTCTCAGAGCTCAGCCAGTATCGCGTCTCGGCTCCATGATTCGAGTCTTTCGCTGATGTTTACAGCGCCCATGCCGTCGGCGGTGGTAGTAGGGGGAACGGGGCTCCCCGCGATACGGAGCCTCCTCTAGACGGGTCTTTTGTGCCTCGATCTAGTGAGTAGGCAGCTTCGAGAAATTTCCTACAGACGTCGAGCACACAAACAGCGAGAGAAGGAAAAAAGAATTCTCGGAGGAGGATGGCTGTTCGAGTACATTTCGGAAGTTTAAATTCCGCTTAACTTGATATTGGAGCCGAATTCCCCGAGTCACTCGAGCCTCGGAGTTTGCTCCGCTGCGCGGAGACTCATGGCGGGGTTCGATGACCTCGACGCTGACTCTTCGCGAGGAATTCAAGAATTTTCGACGGGAAAACTCGGTTCTAACTCAATCTCATGAAAATTCTCCATCGTAGTGGCCATGGGGCGCAGCAGAAGCACCCCAGGATTGCTCGAGTCTCGCGGAAAGAAGACCCTGGAAGATACTCCCGTTCAGGACAATGGAGTTGCTCGACCTAAACCCACAAAAGCATCGTCTACCTGTGAGTACGAACGATGTATCCGAAGAGTTGCGACGTTTTCGGCTTCGTCGATTCCGATTCCTGTCGTTGAGTGGGTAGTAAGCTCGGCAGTGCTCGGTGTCCGCTTCTGCCGATCGAAAGATAGGGACACCCGAGAAGAGCCCCGATTACAGAGTCGAAATCCTCCGTCCGCAGGTTCGAGTCCTAGAGGCCAACGAGAAGGACATGTGCGTACATCCTCTTATCTGTCGGAGCAACGCTCTCCGTGCTGTCATTCTAGTTTGCGGACGTCCCCGGCTCAGACGACGGGTCGACACGCGAGTCCCGGGACAGCCGCTGGACCTCAACGTGCTTACCCTACCTCTTCGTCCATCGCTGGGCGATCCCCTCATCTCCCATCAGCCACTTCTTCTCTTCACCCCCAACAACTATATCACCCCTCCCCATCCCCTCTCCCGCAGTTTTTGAATTTGCCACCGGGGTCTCCTCAACACGCTGGAGGCAATTTCACGTTGCAAGGTATGTATCACGTCATCCCTTTGGTCCGCGACCGTTTACGCCGCAGACTTCTTTCTTGCGTCCAGCGCATTTTCTCATCGCCCTCTTTCGGAGTTGCTCTGAGATGGTCTCCTTGTCACGTAGAGAGAATGAGTCAGGCTCGCGTTCGCGAATATAAACCGAGGTGCGAATGTTCTCCTCCGGACCGAACATAGCGAGCCGCGATTCCCCCGAGAAGTACGTCATCTGCGCTTTCCGTATCCGAAAGTTTCTAGGCGTCCGCAACTCAGGCTTCAGAAGTAGGCCAGAGAAATCTTTTTTGAGGAGTCGTCGGGCTTGCGAGCGGGCGACCATCCCAGCGAGTGAGTCGGCGGAATGGGGGCAAAAGAGGACATGATCGCGGGCTCAATCAGATCGTCAGTCCGTCCGTCCGTCCGTCTGATGACGCTCCCTCCGCTTCGTCTGTTCTATTTGACTCGACATACATAGCCGAGTTAGTGATTGGTTTAGTTTTGCTGAAGCTTTTTTCGAGCCGTTATGCTGAAGCTTTTTTCGAGCCGTTATGCTGACCGCGGAGCATTCACATGCTTAGCGGATTCGGTCCATGGTGGACGTCACTTCTTGTAATGGGGGAGAACTGCTGAAACTGTTACCGAGAGAGTAAGCGCGCGCGGCAAACTCCGCCCTGGGACGACGTTGGTCGCCCAAACGTATATCGTCGTATCTCAAGGTCCGTATCTCTTGATGGCTGGACAGGGACCGAGGAGTGCCCATGGAGCTTCGGTCCAATATTTCCTTCTCTCTCGGTCTGGAAACTTTCCTCGTGTGACTTCGAACCTCGAACTCGTTCGGCTTTCGCAGACAATCTCGCAGGGGGAATAATTTCGGATGGTCGTTGTGACAACTCGCAGTCGGTCATCGCGGATGGATTTGCCGTAAGCGTCTCGTTTTCGTCTCCAACAGGGCCTCACGCTTTCATTCCCATTCCAACTGGAACGCCAGTTCTCGCGAGTCGAAGCTCTCCGTATACCGATTACACGAACGTCAGTCCCGTGAGCAGCAGCAACGAACCAACCACAGTAGCGCCACCTACCGCTCTTTATGGTACTTCTCCGGGCAACTCAAGTACTGCGATTGGGACAGGGCAAACTCATTTGTTTGTGCCAAACCCCCTTCAGACGTCAGGTGAGTCTCCGGACGGCGGCGGCGAACGTCTTCCCTCTTTCAGTAACAAAGTATTTCTGTATTCACTCCGCGCAGGGAGCCAGGAGCGATTCATTTTTCATTCATCTTCCCTCTCTCGTATACGCTGCGCCGTCCTCCCCTCCTGGGGCGGGAGGGGGGTCAGGAGGTCGACTGGCGAAAGGAGTTTCGGTCAGACCTCCGGTCTGCGATGAGGTCCTAAAAAGTAGCTCTAGCCGCTCTCCATGAATAGGTAGATCAAAGCGGCAGTTTGCTCAAGGTCGGATGCATTTGCCACAAGCGTTCCTTCTGCCTCCTATACCGCATATGAATCGGCCGTTCTCGGGCCATCTACGAGAACCGTAGATTGACCTCCACTCGCGGCTCTGACGGAGTTCCTAGAGCAGCAAGGAGTTCTTCGAGCGGAAATCGCATGTGACGAATCGCGTTCTCTTCACAGGGATCCATAGCGGAGCGCACAGTCCCACAGTGTTGGGGAGCGCGCCCAGGGACCAAGAAGACCTACTCAACGAAATCAAACGTCTCCGTGAACGGCTTGTAACCCTGGAAACCGAAAACGCTACCATGAGTATAAAACTGTCGCAATCGACATGGCAAGTCGAAAGTCGTTTAGCAGAAATCGAGATGCACATCTCTACGAAAAACCAGCACCAGTATTCACCGCAACAACCCCGTAAGTGAAGGAACACTCCTAGTCTCCTGCCGGGTTCGGGCGGAGCATGGACTGACGTAACGACAGTCCGTAAGCTTCAACGTCGGTTAAATTTTCAGGAGCAGAATGTCCCACAGACTCCGAATTCGCTAGTGGCAGCGACAGCGATGAGAGAAATAGAGAATCGATCATCTGACGGTCCGTGGTCCAACCTCAAGCGCGGCATAAAAGATCCAGAAAGAATGCCATAACCTCATCGCCCTCAAGCCAGTCCTCGATAGCCTCGAAGCCGTACAGTCCGCACGGGAAAAGTCTCTCGCAAGATTCGCTTCGCAGCACCACCATCACAACGACGACGACATTCCCGAGGTCGTACAACCGGAAGAGATCACACCATCCGCGACATTTCAGGAAAATGCAGAGTATGAGTGACGATGACACTTTCATGTAAAATGTCGATCGAAAGTGTGGGATCGTTAGATCCCCCTGATCGCCCGGGAAGCTCGTGCGCTTCGCATTGAGACATAAATATAGGGAGCCTCCGTCCCCGAGTGAGTCCTAGAGCTCTACTGGAGGGCGGGCAACTTTTCCGGCTGGCCTCCCCGACTGAGGACCGAGACGCGATGACCTGATCGATGATCTCTCTCTACTATGTACTACTATCTGTGTCGAGGCGATCAAAATGCAGGGATTCCGCCGCTTCATAGGTGTGATCGTAGGTATATTCAGCAGCTGACGACCTCGGAGCAGACTGCTCCAAAGAACAAAGAGCTTCCGGATCCGATGAATGCGCGACTTCGACGCATCCGTGTTGTCCACTTCGTGCGATCCAGAGAGTTCTCGGCTGGGCTGAGCCGCGGAATCGCCTACACACAATTGAATAGGATACTCACCGACTTCGGTCCCTCGAAAAACGGACCTGCATGGGCTGGTACGCTTCGGTCGTGAACAGATAAGCGGCTGTCTGCCATCTAGGAAAAAACGCTCAGTCAGACGAGAATTCGTCTACAACCGCTTGTATAAGCTCCAGCTGATCGTCGAAGCATTCACAACAGTCTCGGACAGACGCTCGTAGCGATATACTCCGGAAGGCATCTGCGCCGGTAGCGCGATTCGTACAATTGAATACATACTTACATACATAGCGACGCTTTTGGAAACTGACAATGACAGCCCCGACTCCGAGAGAAGCGGCGGCTATGGTGATGATCGTGAATTGTGAACGATGCCTTCGCATCTTGCCTTGTATTGGAAGAGAAGGAACGAACAACAGCTAGTTGTCTCTTGTTTTCGACCATAGTACATACACACATGCATACATAGAGGGGAAAAGCGGAGCCAAATCGACCGAAGACGGTAGAGTCGCCGATCGAGAGCTCTGACGGCTGTCAGTCAGATAGAAATAATGTTCAAATTGATGAGCTTTTTTGCCGAGCAAAAGCGACTAGATGATTGCTGTAACAACCAAACGAACAATCGCCCTGATTCCACCTCCAGTTTCACTCCCACATTCCACAGAGTGCCCTCAGAACAAAATATCCTGTCGAGAGAAGGATGGGAGTTTGGGCGCGGGACACAGACAAACCGGAAGGAAACTATATATTCATAGCTCCCTAGCTTGACAGATGCACGGAACTTGACAGGAGGAATCAGTGCTTTGGAAATATTCATGGGGTCGTTTGTATTCTGAAAAACACAGGTAGCGAATTAGTAGAATCATCGTGGGAACAGTGGAGGCAATTCAACCCATAGCGCGTGAGAGTGCTGAATGTGTTGCGAGTTCGCGCCAGGTCCGACCGCCCGTAGTTACGGGCGATGTAGGGATGACGCCAAGTCCGCTGTCTGTTGCGGACCGGGTGTTGACCAGAGAGAAGAAGATGAAGCCAACGTGGAAGGATATGACTTATGTTGGGCTTTGTGACCTCGAGCGCCAGGGAACGCATATGTTACAGTGGTCGTATGTAGGTAGTCTCATACTCTCATGAAAGGGAACGTGATCGTGTAACACTCCGGACTCCGGGATCACACGCAAGCGAAAGGCTCCATACCGGCGATTCGCGGCAGCCGTATCTCATTTTTCCTCCAGGAGCGATTCCCATCCAGTTTTCAATTCACGCAAGGCAATCCTCCTGTTGTTTGTCTCGAATGGATGTCCCACGCGGGACCACCCATTGGTTGCAGCGCTATGCGAAGCTCATGATGACGACTCTGGCGTGAGCTCCCGATTGAGTGGGGCTCACTAAGTCGATTGCGATGTTCCGTTGCGAAAGCTCCCGCTCATCCCGCGAGCATCATAGCAGAGATAGTAGGTTATTTCCCTTGTTTACGCTTCGGTGGAGTCGGACGATTCTCGCCGCTTCTCTCTCCAAGAGAGCTAAGCGTTTTTCTCTTCAATATACCGGAACAAAGTGAAGTCTCCTCGCTGGAAAATCCAATTCCTTTTTCGATTTGGAGTGCCGGTATCAATCAACACTCGACTCAAATTCTACACCTCGGCTTTTTTGAGGATCAAGGAGCCTACGAGTAGAATCGGAACGCAATTTACTCTTCACCCCCCCTCGTGGCTGTCGATTTCGCCGCGGGTTGCCTGCTCTGAAGGTCCCTGAAAGCGACCGGAGGAGAATCATTATCGGCACGTCGTGAAATACACTCTCAGAAGAGATCTGATTCCGACCAGCAGTGTATATGGGCCCGAGTGGTTTCCTGACGGAGGATTAACGGATCCGGAGCGGAATGTAAGGCTTACGCTGACTACAAGCGCTGTTGCGGGACTCGAATGCGGAAAAAGCCTTTCGTGCTATACTTTATTTTATACTCACTCCCCGCTGCTCTCCGACGGGGCCGTCGACGCACAGCTGAAAGCCGTTTCCAGTTGTGCGGCGCTCGAGTCATTACGGCAAGCAGTTGCAAGGTATACTCGCGGCCGGAAGCGCGGGTGCGGCCTGCCATCGATAGCAGTCAAGTCGATCTGCGGGCTCTGCGACGACTTCTGCGGCGGCCCGCGCAAAACGACGAAGACTCCGACTCGCCAACTAGCCAATCGAATTCGTGCCTGCTTCGCAGCTTGCCTGCCGGACGAGTTCGGACAATCTGACGCCGTCGCAGAACGCATACGGAGGTGGTCCTCCTTGATGTCCGCAGTTCGTGGTGTCGTGACCGAGTCCCGATTGAAAGACCGCTCATCTCAGACACGGAGCAGAGCGGAGTGGGGTTGAGTTTGAGTGATTCACTCAATAGACATCCATGAGCAAGGAAACAGAGCGGAATTATAAAATGTGCAATCACTGATCAAGCAGCTGCCTGGAAGAATGGCCTCCTGCGAATGGTTGAAAAGGAATATATTATGTTCAGGATTCGCGGGGAAATGACCGAGAGCGAATCTTTTCGCCACTTTGGCTGTCAGCATCTCATCGAGGCGCCATCCCTACAATGAAGTAATATTTGCTTGTTAATAATGAGGTAGATAAATATAATTATATTGATTATGACGACGAACTCAGGGGTTTGAGAGCGAAGAAAAATGCATCTTCTTAAAAATGTTAATAAGTGGTATTGAGAAATAAATTTGAATGATTAATACGTTGCAGTATTGCAGTAAAGAAGACCAATGTTCTCATTGCCCTCAGCTATCCTATCTACCGAAGTTGCCGCACGGGATCAACGAACCTCTCTTTCCGAGAAAGTGCCTCTCGCACACCGAGCCAGGCGTATAACGAATCCTCGAGCGAGCCTGAGGATTGGTGCGCGTGACGAACCCTTCCATATAAGAGACTCTTCAATGTACATACATGGATGACCGACGATTATGATTATCAGTTATCAGGAAGAGTTTGTTGCGCACCCCCGCCCTTTCGCGGAAGGGTCAATCACACGCCAGGACCCTTGTTCGGAAAAATCGTCATACCGAAAGTTTGTTACAGGCGGCGTTCATTACGTCCGGTCATTCAATCTAGTACGGTCGATGACCTATTGAGGTACCGTAATAGTAACAGAATACCGTATTTCTGGATGAATGAATAAACACTGACGGCATGATCCTGACGGAGTCCTTGAATGCCCCGAGATTGAAACGAAAGCAGCGATTCGCGGCTCGAGATCCCAGTAGCCGCCGAGATTGATGGGCGTTTCCGAGGCGAGACTCTCTCGATGATAACAATCGATTTCTGTGAAGTTCCGGACAAGTGAACGCTCGATCGGGTGCATTTGCATCAAAAAAGAGGAGCTCCGTTCTGTCTCAGAGAGAAGGGCGCAGAGAAGTCTGACAACATCTATTGGCTCGTCAGCGATTGAGTCAGTCAGTTAGGGGGTCATCCAGGAGCAAACCAAGTCCTGGAATTAAATTGAAGGCTCACAGGTATACTCTCGGGACGGAATCCTTCCCTCCGTTTTCGCCTCGATGACCGCGAGCTGTGTGCCTACCTATGTCTCTGTGGAGCATTTTTTTCGCCGGGGATAATTATGTGCGAAAACGTTCCTCTCGAGATCGACAATCCCAAGTCCTTAAGCTCGTGGACTTTGGAGGTTGTTGCAGGAGCTCTCAAGTGGCGGCGGTCGAATCAAAAACATTACAATATCATGGCAAGAGAGAACATGATGACACATCATGGGAGGACCGCGATCAACGTTTAAGGCTTGACACCGGACTCTGCGTCATCTCCGACTGAGATCGCTGCTCCCCCCAATCCCCGTTCATTCCATAAGGGAGCGTTGACGGTGTTCCATGGGATGACTCTGGAGTACAGCTAGAATCCTGAGATATAAGGAAGACGATCGATATTCTGCCTTTGTCATCCGAGAAAAGAATTCACATGGGCTCAGCTGCCTTGAAGATGCCCGAGGCGGAGGAGGAGCTCGAGATTCGACTACCACCGCTCTGCCAGGGCATAGCTATGACAGCGTGTCAGCCACAGCGACGGTCAGCACCGGCCTCGAACCGCAATGGTCCCAAACACAAGTTGCTGGCGGCTGAGAATTCAAAATGCAGTGGGCGAGTCTATTCTCTACTTTCGGTGTAAAATGCTATGGAGGAAGGGATTGCGCGATCAGAGTCCGGAAACACTGCAGAGACGCGGGCCGTTGGGCCTGCGGGAATTGTCGCCGTCAGCTTCCACTGAGGTAGGCGGCCTACTCGCTCCGTAAAACGGCTTTTGCGAGAAGCGGGTGAACGATCTCCAACATCGCGACGCCGAAAATCGTAGGAGCCGGTGGCTTTATTGCCGATCGGACATACTGGTCCAATATCACAGAATCGACTTCTCAACATAATGCCCGATAGTGGACCAGAGGGATTATGCGAATCCGGCTCGAAATACTGATTCTCTAAACATCTTCCCCCGAATTCGCAGCGGGGGTGTCGAGTCCGCGGTAATTCATTCACAGAGAGAATCGAGCGCTGCGGATGTATTTAAAAGATTCCATGAAGCGAAAACTCCCCAGAGAAGTTCAGCGCTGACGAAGGCCTGGGTCCGAGGCGCATGCAACGAGAGATATCCACGAGCTCGAATCCCTGAGGGAGGCAATGCTTGCGCAGATTTGCTGTGAAATATCCCGGTCCGGGACGGAGAGGGCTATATGAAAAAACTTAGCGTAGAACTTGGCGGAGGGCAGCGGAGATGATTTACAGTCTCGTACGTGAGCAGGCAGACACTTCATATTTCTCGCGTAGAAAGGGCAAAAACTTTCACAGCGTTTCCTCATGGCACAATGTTACGGAGACCATTCCGCTCTTCATAAGCTAGAACATTAAACACAGAGACGTCATCCGTGCAATCTATCTCAACAAATCTTAATTCCGGTGACAAGTCTGAATTTCGGAGGAATTCCTCGCGGCTGACAGAACCAGTGCCGCGAAACGTCTCAGGGAGTCGCCTTTGCCGGCCTTTTGGGCCTCTCGGATGAGCTCTGACTAAGGAAACCAGTCTCCTCTGCCTACGCGCTTTCTTGTGATATTAGGAAATTAGTATGGGCCTCGCTACGATCGTCCTCCCGAAACCCATGATATTCGTTCTGCGATTAGGTAGTTGAGCTCCGTATTTTATTCACGACGTTGAAATATTGATTCGCAGTAATTGTGAGCTGGAAATGACAGCCAATAATAATGGGGCCCTAGGGATTTTCCACGAAGAGCTCGAGCTTTCCGGATCGAGTAGAAATGTCTTCGGGTTAGATTGACCATGAGCGTTGATTCCTTGTCCAAAGCTGCGAGTTTCGCCACGATTCTGGCTGTTTTCGGAATCAAGCTCCTTCGGAGATGGGACTTCCTCCCTTAGACACGGGGAGAGATTCGATTTCTGAGTTTGTCGAACACGATATGAGCATGCCAAATGTGTCGACGAGTTCCTGATTCAGGCTCAGGTATGCGAAGGTTCTCGGTCAGGCTCCCCGGAAACTCTCCACGCTACCAATTCCTTGTTCGAGACGAGTCTCGACCGAGGTTCTTAATCTCCAGCGTCGTAAACTCAACCCATTCTTTTGTTCAGAGTTTCACTCCTCCGAAAAAACGCCTGACCGTCATCGTCGGCAATTTCACAACGATATAAGGAACAGATTTTCAGGGGAATACGGGACTGCTCCCGTCGGCGTAATTCGCCCATGCCGATTGATCCAGCGGAGCCGTCAAATGGTCGGCGTATGGCCCAAAGTCAGCTATTCGGAGGTCTGACCGAGATAGAACCTCGGATGGGGTGAGAGAGCTAGGCGGCTCTCGCGCATTTTCTTTTGAAATTCGAATCCGGAGAAGGAGGAATACATCCCGGAGATTTGCCTAACGAGCCCTTCAAATCGGACAGAATTGGCAACAGCTCCGTCAAGGGCTCTGAATCCGGGGGCTTTTTCCTACGACCTTGCGACACTTGCTCGCGGATATTCAGCCCAATTAGGAACTCCCTAAGTGTGCCGCACAGAAGTCGGCAGCCCGAGAGGGGAATTATCCGATATAAAGCAGAGGACTCGCATGATGCAAGCTTTTCCGCATGTATTTCCATTCCCGGCAATCTCGAGCCCGTCGGGGGCGAATTCGAATACCTGACTTCAGTTCAAGCTGTGTATGCTTCCATTTCAGTTCTCATCCTGGAATGACGTTGCATTAATCTGCTGATGGTCTCGACCGGGAGAACACTTTCATTCATCTCGGTGTTGGAGCCGTCGGCCGAAGTCATTAGTCGGGTTTTTCCGAAGTCCTATGGTGTGGTATAAGCTAGACTAGATATGCCTAAGGGCTTGCCACGGTCGAAGCCAACGATATTCAGCAGAAGCCTCGCGAGTCCTTATCCACCCTCTATCACTCATATATCAGGGACTTCATCGCACACCACATTTTCAGCCCCTTGCAGAAGATGCCGAAATCGACAATGGTACCGCAATGATCTCGGGAGGAAGCTTGATCCTTCGCAACTGGCACAAGCCGTGGATCGGCGATTAAGGCTCGAACGTTCAAAGAGTTCATTGGAGTCCCTTGAAGAGCAACGTCTCCAGATCTTGAAAGTCATGAGAGCTGCTATGTACATATTCCCCGCGTGATTCGATGGTGCGTCTTCAACGGAAGTCCAATCGGATTGGAGTAGCTCAAGATTTCTGTGGTGTGACGCGAGCCGGCGAGAATTCGCTAAGACTCGAGAGCGTCCCGGCTTCTTATTGAAGTCCCGTGCTCCGCAGAGTCTTCTCTTTCCAGAGCATGGTACATATATCCGACGGGCAATAGACGAAATCGACGTCGACTGCTGTATACGTACTCGACTTCGTGATACAGTCCTCCCTCTAATTTCATTGATCCCATACTCCTTGACGCAGATCGATGAGTTCAAGGTCCTCGAACCAACTGCTCGCGATGAGGGAGAGAAGGCACTCGGGAACTACTTCGAAGACCGCAAAGCCGGGAATAGAAAGGCTCGAGAAAAGTTGTCATGATCTTTCACCGTACCGAGATCTCTCCATTCTTTTGAGACTATAAGCTAGGGATGAAAATGGACATGGAAATTGACTGGCTCCGAGCACTTGAAACCTTCGAGAAGGGATGATCGGGCCCCGCCGGAATTTCGAGCTTTCCGAGCCCCTCCGGAGATCCGACGAATACTTCAGACGAGCTGGCGCCGAGAAATTCATGTCCGCCTTTCGAGCAACGGATTCCCCCATCCCCTCCCATCTGGAAAGGGAATATGAGGAAAATCTATGATCGTGAATGCCGGCGTCTGGGGACTGCGGTCGTCGTATCGACGATCTCGCTTCAGTCAAGTCCCGAAGATTGGGGTATTCCCTCAGGTAGAATTCCCAGACTCCGGATAACTCCATACGAATATTCCAGGCAAGCATCTTCGAACGCAACAGCCGCCGTTCAGGCGGAATTTAGGGACCCGAATAACGGATTTTCCTTAAGGAATTCCTTCAAAAGCGTCGAGGAGCTCCGGGGCGAGCCTCGGCTCGTCAAGCAGCTTGTTAGTATTCGATTCCCTTAGATAGGATAAAAATGATTCCCTTATAGGCTCGACGCTCCTGTCCTGATATTATCCCAATTACGAAACAATCTATCCACCGCAGTGAAGCTGCGCTGATTTCTCGTCAGCGGCGCGCGGGGAGCTCAAACTTCTACGCAAAATTCTTCCGGAGCGTGGAAGCCGCCGGAGCTTTTATTAATCGCCGAGCTCGGATCGATCCCAAGGCAATTAATTCGAACTTGTCCATCAGAGCGAGTCGCTAATGAGCACAACGACGGACTTGTTCACAGCTGACTTCGCGACCAAGGTCTCGGAGTACTGCGCCGAATAAAAAGAATGATTTGAAAATTGGCGTGTTGAGGTGCTAAAGGACATGTGTGATGTCGAAGCCTCGATCCGGTAGGTTCTGCCCCCTGAGACTCAAAGTCAAGCCAGGATTCTACGTGCTTAGGCCACGGAACTGCCTAAGCTCCGCGATGGCTGTATTGTTATTTTGACATTTTCTCTACTCCTTTAGCATTCTCCCAGAGGATGAGCAACGCAGATTTGGTATGTATCTCGATTCGGCGAGTTCTTTATTTCATCTCCGAGAGGGAAACCTGGAGCGGGACTCGCGGATCCTCGCTCTCTGTTAAAACCGCTCAGTGAGGCTGTCCGGGTTCGTTTTGTCGGTTTCTTCTTGGTGTTCCTGAACGGCGAGATCGAATATGAAAACTGTGTTCTTCCGCCGCGCCATCTCGGCGTCGCTGAAGCTCATCGCTCGCGAGCGATTGACACGTCCGTTCGATGATATCGAGGCCTGTCGAGCTGATTTAATCCGAAGTCGACTGGCGAAAGAGCCCCGGGAATCTGTTCGGCTACGTTTCGGCTGTTCTTCATCCGAGCGACTCGGAGTCGGGGGGTACTGCGACATGAAAACGGAACTCCTTCGTCGCATCATTTCCATATCGGCGAAACTAAGTTTCCGTGAGTTGGCGCTGTGCATTTGCATAGACGAACACGACTTTCGGGGCTCGAACACTTCGCCGTCCTCCTGGGAACAACAAAGAATGAAGCGGTCAGGAGTTTCCCCGGAAACGAGAGAGAAAACAAAAAAATATAATGAGCAAGCGGAGCTGCTTGCACAAATCTGTGTGTTTTCGATGAAATCGGCTCCACAACTCTGGCCGCAATTTCCGGCGAATCGCAATTCCATTGCCGCAACGGTGAATTGCAGTCGACAGATGGAAAATGAGAAGAGAGCTCCGCAGACATCATGGTCGCGTACGACGCCCATCCTCCCCCATGTCCGTCTGAATCGATTCCGAGAGAAAGCCGCGCATAAGTCTGACAGAAGAAAATTAGAGGAGCGCCGAGAGAGAAGCTGGAGAAATGATTACGATGTATGTATCACTCGGCAGGACTGTTCCGACGAAGCCTTCCAGAAGCGCTCCGAAGGCCACCAGCCTCCGAGCGACGTCGGTCAGATCGGTAGCGAATATTCCCGTTCTTAGAGATCGGTTCGCGAGGTTTGTTTCCGCTTACATCTCGCCCCGGAGAGACGGGATGGGCGTTATCTGTATCGCGGAAGCAACCCACGATTCATCATGAGGGGGCCTACTCATCGTGTGTATCCGTCCGACGATGGGACTTCGGACCGAATGACAGGGGAACGAATTGATTTCTCCCGAGTTCTACTTACGTAATTTTCGCCCACATCGAATCTCCACCTGCCACGCTTATCCTCCGGCATCCACCAGAGGATGATGTCGGCAGGATGCCGAATGAGTTTCGGATCGAGCTGCGAATAATCGAGGCTGCCCGTCACCAGCGAAACAGGCATCGAAACCAAGAAGAACACGATGACCGAGACCATGGTGTACCACAATGGGGACATTCGATAAATCCACAAGACTGAGCTGTCGTCCGTCCTGGAATGCCGGGAAATGTCTCAGATAGGAAGAATGAATCGCGCCAGAGATGACCTCAATGATCTCAATTCTCGCCGCGCCAACGGAGCGACAGCAACGGACATAGAAAACCAGCGGGATCGAGACGTCAATCACTACAGCGTTGCTGTTCCTTCCCATTTATATTTACTACGAAGTTCTCTCACAGCTTTCGGAAAAGAGATGCAGATTGGTCGTGGAACATGTAACTCACGGTGCATCGAATGCGACGTTGTCAAAGGAACAAGCGTCTACGCTGATGGACAGTCCCAGAGGTGTCGGGCCGTAGAGAATAGCTCCTACATTAATCCAGAGTGCGATGCATAAGGAGACGAGGAAACCGGCAAGAGCTCCTGCCAAGACAAATAAATAGTTATCCTTAGAATGCTGCACCTCTACTCAAGACTCGGGGATGTACGCTAATGAGAGCACCGTATTCCGCAGATATCGCACGCGAAGAGTTCGAAAGCCCGGGTCATCCACGCCGATAGATGCTCAGCCCAGGAAAAAGGGTTCCTTTGACGTGAATCGGAGCAGCGACACTCAGGACGAGTTGCCACCCAATCCAGCGCGAGATCAGTGAGCGGAAGAAGGCTCGGGTTAGAATAGCAGCGGACGATACGCACACACGCTCATCGGATGGCATTCGCGCGGACCTAATTAGAGCGCGACAGTCAATGGAAACGACTTTGATCATTGCTTCATCAGCCAATTCACTTAGTGCTGTGGGGAAGAATCAGATTCCGCGGCTCAAAGGCAGCGAGAGGAAAACACGAGCTGAAAACACGGAGAGCTCTAGAATCGAGCGCGATGAGAGCCGCTCGTCCGGATCCCGGCCATGTGAGAAACGATCGAATGGCTGTGCCAATTATGAATCCCGAGTTGCAAGGCTCTCCAGCTCCTCTGCTGCTGCGAATTGCGGGAGCGATGTGAGTCTTGTCTGCTGCTTGAGAACAGCCGATCCCAGCCGATCTTGCACCTCGTCGATTCGGACGGAGCCCCAGAATGCCAGCGATAGTTCTCAACGATGCCTCTAGTACGGGCTCCGAGACTTCGAATTTTCATTCATGTGGGCGACCGAGTCTCGATCATCATCGATCACTGCACAGAATCGGCTCTCTCTCTAGCGAAGTCTGACTCATTTCTCCTGATCCTTCCTGAATCATTCAGCCTCTATCCGGAGTTGTTTCTCGATATCACATTCATAAAAGGCCCTCAGAATCCCGTTATCAATCATTCCGGAATTCCGACTCGCTTCCGCGATTTCTCGCAGAAGGAAGTAGTCGCATCCCTGGGGAGTGCACGGCTTTGCATCGGTCGCGCGAGGAAACCCAAAAAGATTCGACGGAAAAATTCCCAGATCACGGAATTCCTCGGATTTCTTTCTTTTGGAAAATCAGAAGGAAAGGCTCGGACAGTGAGAAACGGGGGCCGGTTTCCGGCGACAGCGCGAAGCGAGGTTGCTGCCCATTCTCTCTCTGCGAAACGAATTGCGGTGAGCTCTCCTGGTGCGTCTTATTCGAGGCGTACTTCTGAATCTCGGCCGCTCGTCTCCTTTTCATGGCCGGATCTCTCCCCTTGGATAAGGAACGCCATTATTCTCTTCTTGAGGGCGAAAAGAAGCCAGCGACGCAGCCTAATTACCATGATTGCAGAGAAAAAACTCGCGACTTTCCTTTAATACCGTGCAAGCTCAATACTTATTCCACCCTTGCCCAAGCCGCGCGGCAGTGCCACCGGCGAGAGTATGCTTCAGGGAAATCGAGGGATAAGGTGAGCGCCTCCGCGATCAGCCGAGTCCCTCTCTTCTATGTATCGTACTTTTTGACATGAAGCGTCTCAAATCCAAGTTGGGGGCGCGTTCAATGTTCTTCGTTCTTCATGTAACGATTCAACGCCGCTTCTGAGAGGCTAGAACCATCTTAGATGCGCATGGGAATTCTACTCGTCTATTGTGTCGATCGCCGGACAATTTACGGGCGATTCTCTCATTCGAGTTGGAATTGAATCTGTGATTGATCAGGGCCCTTACGACTCGAGTTTCCAATCCTTCTAAAAATCATCGCGCCCACTCGATAAATATGCCTCTGGCGCTCTTCAACATTGAGTTTTGACGCTGATTCGACTCACAACGTGAAGTTTGCTTTTAGCCCCCTCACTTGATTAGGGTCTTAGGCTCCGGAAAAGGTTTCATTCCGAGAGGAAAAGGTATGCGACTCATCCTGATCATATATGCACAGTTTTCTATGTACCGATTTTCCGTCTGTTGCGAGAGGCTAGATCTTTCTAAGTCGCGCGGTGAATATTCGTAGGCGGAACGTAACTCATAGCCCCGCATCAAACACGTAACTTGCTAGAATCGTTCCCATCGGCAACAATGGGTGTCGACGCTTGCATCCTCAATCCCTCGAAATCGGTGTCTGGACCTTCGTCGATCCACCATTGACGTAAGCTGTTCAGAGCTTACGACTTTATCATCACTACTTCTTTCACGACGGTTTTACTCCTGCTCGTCAGGGTCGTGTGGTTATTGTATTCCTTCACCAATACGTTTTAAATTCCTTCGCAGTCCTTGAGGCTCTCGAGTCTCATTGGAAGGACTAAAAGAGTCCGTCGATGCACTTAACATTTGAGCTTAGATAAAATACTTCCGTTTTTTTTCCGAAAACCTGATCGGTGAGAGAAATTGATGAGAGATTGCGATGAAGATTTCACTAGGGGACTCATACCGAAGAGTTGTTGAATGAGGAAATCGTGAGAAAATCAACATTACTCTGCTCATTGATGAGCATTGCAAAAGATCATTGGACAGACGTTTCGCGGTAGTGTCAAGACGACACTACCTGTGAGAGATTCTTTCTCCTACTCTGACTTCTTAACGTCCTTCGTACCCTGTTTCTATTCCTCTCCACCCCTCCGTCGAGTCTACTTCACCCGCAGCCGACCGTTAAGGAGTATTCGATCTCTATTTACCCTTTTGCCAGCGTCCGACTTGTCGCTGCCTCGCCGCCGACCCCGTCGTTAGTTCCGACGGCAAAGCTCACGTGCGCCGAATCCTCCGCGAGGCGGCACTCTTGATACGATTGAGAGCCCGGCATCGGAGCTCGGATAGGAAACTCCTCCGCTGGGACCACACGTATCGCAATGGAGCTATTCCCCAATACTCGAGCACCGCGTCTACGGTTGGGTCAATTCGCCTTCGATGGGAATCGAATTAGACTCGTTTTCCGGGCTTCAATCTAGAACGCTGAGGCTAGCGGACCAGATTCAGGTCCTGAGATGAAGTATTCGATCACTCACCGGTCGTGTTTATCTGGGGGAAGAGCATCCCGGCGGTGAATAGGGCGAGGAGCGGGCCCCCAATCGCGCTGTTAATTGATAGGGACGCGGCCAGGACGTTCCCCAATTGTTTGGTCAGGGCCACCAGCGCGATCGATGATAATCCAAAAACGACACCTGCAACCGGGATAGCGAACAGGCGCGTGCTTTGAGGGCGGTCGTTAGGAGCGTTTTATGTATAATATTATTATGAGCCCGAGATCCAGTACCGCTTTCTCCGACTGGCCCGGATAATATATTAACATGACGTTGTTTCTCTGCCGAAACACCCGCACGAGCACCGTTGCAGCCTTACGACCCCGGGGACTTCAGGCTTCTGTAAACACGTTCTTTTCGCTTGCCCGAGCGCTTGGGAACCTCTTACTCTATTTGCATTGTTGGCGAGCGGGTCGTGGACGGGATTGCTAGAAGTGCAGCGACGCTGTTCTTCCCGGCCTGTTCCACCTGTTTTGATTACCAGCGATTCCGCCCGGACGAACCAGATTGCTCTTGTCTAATGACGGAAAACGAGTCTGTTGACATCGATGGGGAGGGAGGGGGACTCCTTTTGCGGATTCACTAGTTTGAAAAAAGAGGCTTCCCCGATGATCCCCAAGGTAATGATACGCGAGCCTCGGAAGATGTCGACGATGTGTCAATATGATTGAAGTTTTCGCCATGCTCATGTAATACGTAGATGAGAAGGAAAGGGATATTCTAAGACAAATTCCTAGATTCGGCGTTATGGACTCGCTTTGAACCGGATCCCGATTAAATCCGGGGAGTTCAAAAAAGCCGTCTCGGGGATTCTTGAGGGAGGGGCACAATCAAGGAGCAGCCTGTAGAGTGTGCTGGGCTCGTACTCACCGAGTAGGTTTATGATTTTGGCACCAGTCCTATCGGGAATCCCATCCTTGGCGAGCGCAATGCAGTCCACGTAGAAGACAGTCGACAGAGCATTGACCCCGGAACTGACAGAGCTTAAAGAAGCGGCGAACACCCCAGCGACGAACACTCCAGGAATGGGCGTCAGATCTCCGAGAAAGTCCATAACGAAAAACGGAAGCAGTTGATCAGTGGTAGAGATCAAATTCGCTGTAACCGGATCGCAGCTGGCATAGCGGGCATACACGAACAGACCGCACAGACACGACAACAGCAGAGTTAGCACGAGATACGGCAGATTGAGGAATATCACCCTGGGAACGACGGGGTTTTCCAGTTTACTCGAATATGTCTCAATTCTTTCTCCGTGATTATGAGAACGCACATGAATATTCAGATTGACGCATGAATTCTAATGATAATATAAGATTTACCTAATGAGTCACACAACTTGAATGCAAATTAAACAATGAACGACCCTCAGCTGAAGGGGAGTTATTTCCCCTCTGGAGGAATAACGACGGCATAGAGCTCGACTTCCTGTACGGGATGTCGATGAAGTTTTGAACCTGACCTTCCTATCAGACCGTGATCGTGTCGCTCACTGAGAGGATTTATTCCTCGCTCAAGCGGGCGACGGAATCCCGACTCGGTAGACTGATGGAAACGCCCTGAGCTCGCTCAGTGAGCATCGTACCGTTCGCCAGAATAGAACGCCACCGACGACGCACGGACTAATCTTGTCGTTGACCGTATGCAATTGCGTATAAACCGGCAGCGCAGTGCCGCGGCTCATCTGTTCGTCGCTCTTGAACCACATATATTATATAAGCGAGGAAAGTTTACGAGCGCCCAACTCACTTTATGAGTCACTGTGAGAGTGTCAGGGTGAATGTGTGCGTCTGACGCCTGCTAGGCAAACGGAAACTAGCTGGAGGGATGTTGAGCCGCGCAACGGCCGAAGTTGCAGCCGTGTAGAGCTAGTCTCCGCCACAGCCGTTCGTAGCAGAAGCTCGGGAGCCGCTCCCAACTTCCAGCATAATCGGCTTTCGCCGCCACTACCACCGTTCTTTTTTCGGTCCTCCAATGAGGAGCCAACTGGCTGATAAAGAAGACCGAACTCTGTCCTTTCGAGAGCACCGTGGCGTAACCCGCCGACAAGCCAGCGGGCTCGTCCGCTCTTTTCAAGTCGACCGAGCGACCCGCTGACCGACCGACCGGGCGGTCGGCACTCCGTTCGTCCGTCCGCTCGGCCGATCGGCCGACCGACCTAAGCTCTGGGAATAAGGGGATAGAGTGGCGGAGAGAATAGAGGACCTTTACCAAGTAGTCCGAGCGCTATCCGCCTCTGTCGGGAGAGACGAGCGAGGGAAGACGGCCTTTTCGTTTCATTTACTCCATGTCTTAAGCTTGAGGGCACCTACTTAGCGCTACTTACCATCTGGCTTTGCTAAGCGTGTCCACGGTCATGTAGCGGACAATCATCATCTGGTTTGTGGCGTAAGAGGCAAGATTTGTGAAGAAGCTGCCTATGAACAGCGCCCATAAATTCTGACTACTCGTCAAAGTCAGAGACGCCCTGGAATGAGGTCGGAATTTGAGAGGGGACATTCGGCGAAAAGGATGACCCATCCGACGGGGAGTGAACCGTCATTCCCCCGGGGGTCCTGATTTGAAATCAATCCTGATCCAACACGTGCGGGGCTCCAGAGCTCGGAGCCCTTTCCTTGCCCCCGATTCGTTTCATTTCTCTCCGGAGTCCACGCTCGATCCTGTTTCTCTGACAAAGCCTTCAGTGGATAATGGGAGCGTCATTCCTCTTTCTTGAGAGTCTACGACCCTTGAAAATTGTCGCTAAGAATTTTCCACTCGACTTCAATGGGGCCTCGCTCGCTCCCTCCCTCCCCTCGCACGCTACCGCTGCTGTTTTATCTCCAGATGGAGGAGATTCGCCGCTGGTCTGCGCCATTCAGTCTTGCGCGGTTCGGCTATCCGCTTAGACGTAGATGCAGACGTCGCCGGAGCTCTTCTTTATTCAGCAAGACCTTTTCCCTCCGAACGCCCCGTCGCTCCATCGTAGACCGGGCCGCAGCTGAGGATAGCGGTGAGCTTCCCTGATTACTGCGAGTCCCCGCAATCTGGAAGAACTCGCTCCGCCGGAGGAGACTCTCACAAGTGAAGGGAGCCAGAACTGCTGTGAGACAGGCTCGGTCTACACAGGCACTGATCTCATCGATCGAGGAGGGATATCCGCCGAGAAGGAGGAGGACGTAGTTAATGGAGGTGTTGGCCGATCCCATATATTTGTCGGCAGAGGAGGATCGCAGGGACTTCGTCAATCATGTCGTTTCGTATCCAAGATGCGGAAATCAATCGTGCTCCCGAAATAAACTTACTCTCCGAATTGGATACGTCCGCCCTGCTGGGCAGTTTCCCAGACGCTTGCTATTCCTTCGAAACGCACGGAGGCGGCGACAATGACCACAACAAGAGCTCCTAGCATGAACCATGTTTGGAACGTATCCGTATAGACGACGGCTTTGATTCCTCCCTGGAATTGCATCATTAATTAGAGACCTCACGTCGACGGCGATTTGGGAGGGGATGCAACCGATAACGACGAGGAGCGGCGAATCAACAAAGGAGGGGGGGCGGGAAGAGAGACTCGTCAAAACGTGAGGGGAAACAAGCAAACGGTAAGCGGAGGAACAACGGGGCGGATCAGGTATACAGGAGAAAGAACTACACAAAGACGAACAACAGAAACGACAGCGAGCAAGCGGAAGCGAGCGAGGGAACTCGCGCATCGTTGTCCCGCTGTGGTCTCGTCGCAATAAAACACCTCGTCCACCGACAGGAGTAAGATCCTCCTTCTTGGCAGCTAGCTCGCCCGCCGGGTCGCAAGCCTGCACGCAAACTCTCCCTGGATTTCGCCAGGTTGCGTCAAACGACACTGCGTCACTGAGAGAAGTAAGAAAACGGAGTTAATTGATGGGATCCGATTCGGCTGTCAGTTATCCTTTTTTTCAAAGGTCGGTTGATTTCTTGCTCCATGGATCTTTTCATTGTTCTACTCCTTGGAACCAGTATTATCTTCATTTGGGGGAGGAACGACCGAGACTCTCACTGGAATTATTCAAAAAATGCAGCAGGTGTTCCGAATTGTGGTCGTCATTCCCGGTTCGTTTGGAATCCGCGGTCGGAAGCTATCTATGTAGGCTTCGCGCTCCTTCTTCTGCTGCTTTCGCAGCCCGAAATCTGCGTCCGGTGGTCTGCGTTAAGCAGCCTGCATTCAGCAAACGGTGTGAGAGTCGAGACTGGAGCCGGTTTTATCGGCCGTGGGAGTGGTTTTTAGATCTTATTCAATGCCAAATTCTCAACGCTGGCTTCGAGTCTATCGGAGCAGTACGAAACGCTTTACCAGTCCCGTACATATATACTACTCCCCTCCCATTTTTCTTCAACGGCGACGGCGATCTGGCGGCGTCATGGAGCTTGGCCGAGATAGACGGCAGTTCGGTGGCCGATGGACCACCTTGAGAGCGGCGACGAGTTTTCGCCGTAGAGGTACAGTTTAAGATTTAGATGAGTTCCTGAGATCCTGGGACCATTCCGGGCTAGTATCGGGACTTCTCTCGTCGGTGGCCAGGATCGAAGTTCCTCGGAGGGAGCCCGCGGCGAAATCCACGACGGAGCCTCTGACGGAAAACCTGTCGGGAGTCCTGGCGGAAAGCCCGACGGGAAGCCTGACGGAACGCCCGGTGGGGACGGCACCCCCCTCGAGCGACGGAGTCCCGGGGAGGGAGTCGTTTACTATACATAGAGCGAAGTCTCGGTAAGTAAGGCGCCGTTTGCACTCCGAATGTCCGAGCAGTTTATATTCTTGAAGGACGAGGTCCGACAGGACCAGCCAAGATCAGTGGAGGTGTGCCTGTCCAGTTCGGCTCCTTCTGATCGCACACTATTCCTGAACGTTGCTTTTGCGAATCATCCCACATAGTTTCGTCGACTTCCGAAAGAAGACTGAGAAGCTCTAGGAGCATGCGCGGTCCATTTCTGTTCCGATGGATTACTAAACTGAATCGGCCAACCTCGGGTATCGCCGCGGCTACTTTTGCCAGAAAGGAAAACTTTCCCCGGAGAACGTTCAGAGGAATTCAATCGGGGACAGTCAAGAAGATCAATCCAGATACCGGACCTGGCCGAGGGGACGCCTCAGTCGCCCGCGTCGAGCTCTTCCGATCCAGGCGGGAGACCCAAACCCCTCGCGGAGCACAGGAAGGCTAGGCGGCTAGCGAGTTGGCTCACTCAATTCTCCTCAACAGACCACAGTCCTCTAGAGACAGCATCTTTTCACCTCCTGCTCCTTTCACTTCCTCGCGGAAGTTATCGCATCGGTGAGCGTTATTTTCGTTGCTCAACTTGCTGCAGCTGCGGCTCGTCTCATTCAAAGAAACCGGAGTGGACTTGCTTTCTACTTCTTTTCTCACCGCGGACACCGGCTGCTACGGTCGGAAGGGGGTTCAGAAAGAAGAGCGGCTCGAACAAAAGCGTGATGAACGGAATGAAGAAGGAATGCATGCATGATACCAGAGACGTAACGGGTCGATTCAGAAGGAATAATTCTGACGAGGGCCCAAGGTGGATTCAACCGCCACGGTGGGGAGTCGCGGCTCATCGCTCGGTGAGAGAAACGCGCGGCGGAACCGAGTCGGAAACGCTCGCCGCATTTCGAGTCATCGACCGGGGAATTCCTCTGTTGCTTGATGTTATTGAATGACTTGCGGAGCGAACGTGCGAAGCGTCCTGTTTCCCAAGGGGGAGAGAAATTCCGATAAGCAAGGACCGTTACTATCAGGTCTTCGACGCACGGACACAATCACCGCGACGAGCTGCCGACGAAGCAATGCCGACACCCGCCGTCGATGTCGCTGGGAATCAAGCCTGAAGCACAAATATAGTTTTCCTCAGCTCGTGGCACGAGAACTTGAGACAGACTACTCACGACACTCGTGTAGACGGTACAGACGATGCCCATCGCGCTGACTGCGATCCATAGATTTATACCGGTAACTGAAAATCGAGGGCAGCAGCAACGTAAATTGAATGTATCCACGAGGCTCTTCTCCAGCTTGTGGCATTGATGATATTCGGCCCGCATGGCGCCGAGGGAGTCGCTAAACCAATATCTGGCCTGCGATCAAAGAAGGTGGCGGGCACTCAAAGAAGGTCCTCCAAGCTTATTGTGTTTGACTCTTGTCTTAGAGCTTGGTCACAGGCTTTCCCAGTAAGTGCGCGTTGATGACCAAGTGCAGCCATGTATGTAAGTGCTTCAATCCGTCATTATTACGACAGAGAGTGCAAGAATCGAATATCGTCTACTCGAGAGGATGCTCGCCGTCCGGGAGCATTTGTTACAATGCCTCGGCGGAGGAGGAACATCCCCCCTTGACGTCGACCGAATCAATTCTCAGAAACACGCCCGAGAGAGAGACTGTGGACTCGACTGAGCATTCGCATCGTGGAGCGCTGCACCCTCGTGATTGCATCAGAAAGACTCTGTCCTCTTTTTGGATAAATGTTCCCATGGTAGGGGAATGGAGTGGACGGGAGAACTCTCCGGTACTCAAGCATTCTGAACGGTCCCTCGTGGAGAACGCTCAGTTCAAATAGAGCGATCCTGGTTGGGCTTGCTCACCATTGAGAAGGGGTCGGCAAGAGCCTCCCGTAAGATTACATTCCTGCCGCTCGAAGCACGGACTCGGGCCAGCGACTCCCGTGACCCTAACTGCCCAAGACCCATTCCGATCACGCGGTGCTTTAGAGTTTGCCTTCTCGTGCGAACTTCCAGAAAAGTACCATCGTTGCTTTGATTGCCTCATCACGTGACTTATCTAAGTAAGAAGCTCTGGGAAGGAAGAGGCCAGCATCTGATCCCAGCAGCGCAGGAACGAGTAGCTCCACAGATAACTCGAGGGAAAATGGAGGCGAACAATGATCTTGATCTGCCGGATTCGTGCGCACTTGAGGGCTCAGCACCTCTGATCTTTCTGAAGCCTCAGCTCTATCCGGATAATGGATCAGGATGTTTTCAATAGAATCGAGTCAGACTGACAAGTACCGCATGAACCCATCGGTATGTCACGTCTGTTTAATGGAGTTTGGCTGCGAGAAACGTGAATCGAGTCAACCGGTAGGAACATATGTCACGGTCATAAGAAAAATATTTGATCTCCTGTCGTATAAACTCATGCTGAGTCAGCCTGTGCTCGCAGCGAAACTGCAGACGCAGTTTTTGTACCTTGTGATTCGAATCGCGACACGGAACGCTCCTCAGCTATTCCCATGCTCGTGGAAGCTCCGCCGTCTAGACGTGGGGATTCGGGCGTTCATGGAATCTCATATGGATACGGATGCACTCACTGGATGAATTATTTGATGTGGATACGTTCGAATGGTCGCAATTGCGTCGATACTCAGAAGAAAACCGTTGGGCTCGGGAGGAGCGATCAGTCGATGCATACGAAAGGGTTCTCAAGAATCACTCACGTTGAGACATGGCGAGCGCGGGCGCGTAGAGCGATATCGACACGTAGATGAGCATCTGGATCACGTACAGAATCACCGCGCACACCCGCGTGGTCCGACCGAAGCGGAGTTCGAGGTATTCGAAAGAGGTTGTCACGCCTGCAAAGATAGACGGAGACGTCGAAAACGACGACAACAACCGGTGGGCTGTTGTCATCCACGACCACCACAACAACAACGCTGATGATGATGCTGCTGTTGCTCGCATAGTGTTATGTTGACATGGCTCCGGTAATTGGAGAAGCGTGTATCGATCATAAGTGTGGTAGGGCGTATTCCGTCGGGAACGCCGAGGGCCAGCCGGCGGAGTTCGCCAGGCTGTCTACTTGGCTCCGTGACATCGTTGGCACCGGTCTTGGTAGATTCCGAACCACTACGAGAAGATCATCAGACAGCAGCGACCAACAACTGATGGCGACATGGTGCAACCGTCGAGCGGGCGGCCAACAACCAGCAAACCAACCAAGTAAAGAGATTGGGGCAACGAGGCAAAAAGGACTCGGAACGGGGCTCGGCTGAGTGAAAATGGGGTGGGCCGGGGTTGGAATCCAGGCTCGGATGCGGTACGGCATTGTTCCTCTCTGATGGCTGCACTTCCGTTCGGCGATGATCGAGCATTGCGACCCATGAGTCTCTGCGGGCGCCGATAACACAGAGCTCGGGTTCGGATTGTGAGGAGTCCGAACGGGGGAAAAGGAACGGTAGAGGAGCGCAACGCTAAATAATTAGGGATATCCCAAGATCTCACCGACTTTGTAGAAGACTGGCAAGTAGAAAACTATCGAAACAGCTATCATCGCACAGTAACTGAGGAATGTCATGAAGCACATTGTCCCGAACTGATAAACTTCGGCGGAGTTCCCCAGAATGTACGCAGCCGAAATGAAAGAGGCCATCAGCGACGTCGACACCGGAACCACCGGGAGACTCCCTGAGCCAATCAAAAGCTGACGAATGGTATTCTGAGGGCCACCGCTGAAAGCACAGTAGATCCCGAGAACACCAGAGCACAGGAGCATAACACCGCATGCGACATAATCCCACGCAGTGAAGCGCTCCAGTAGCAACTCGGGACTCGCGATAGTCGAATTCATCGTCGTCTCCGACAGTGATACCGCACGGAGCTCCGACCTCGCGTTCAGCTGGCCGTTCGTCGTTCTTGAAGCCCAAAGTGGATCCGAATGGGAAATTGACGGACTTGATCGCTCTCGCTCCCTTGCACAGTAGTCGCAGTAGTGACGGTAGTCACTTGGAAAGGGGATTTATCCTTTGAGTGACGCCGGAAATGAACAACTTTTACGGCCATTCACAAGCTAGTCGGCGGGAATGTAAGTCCCGGCCCAGGGACGCTCAGCGCGCTTCGGCCTAGCATCGGAATGCAGACTCAGCTTTGCCGTAAATCTCTGCGGGCCGAAACGGTTTCAAACCACGTTTCCGCGTTCTGGCCGAACGGTCCTTCTCGATCGATACGGGGATCGTCGAAAACTCCACTACGGACTTGAACTCCCCCCGATTCGGTCTGCGCTCTCCAAACGAGTCCTTCTCTCCGTTATGTTCTCCTTACGGCTGGCAGGAAGCACTACCGTCTCATACAGCCGATATCCGAATGGCTCTACTTTACAGCATAACACACCCAATTTGTCTCGGTTGTAAACAACTTCCACTCAAGAAGCTTCACCCTAAATAATGTCATAGCTATTGGATCAGGCCTGAGAGTTTCTTTTAGTAGAGATTCAATCCACAGTCTCCAGGCTACCTCCTCACCACCGAAACGTAAATTACGCGCTTCATCTTGGTCGTGGAAGACTGCGGAGGGCTCGAAATCCTGTTCTCTCCACGGCTCAGATTCGCTCGGATTACCCCAGCCGCGAGCTGACTCCCTGTTTCCCGCGAGTCCCGGTATGACGGTAGCGTTCCATGCCGGAACTCAGAACAGAAGTTCGTAGGTTGAGACGCTCGGTTGGAAACCATACGTTCGATTCAAATAAATAATTCAAGTGGTGCGCGTTCTTCGGAAAACTTCGTGGAGCTCTCTGGCGGGCGGAGAAAACTTGCGGGTTCATATCACCCACTGAATCCAACTAGACGATTCATTGCCAGAATCGAATACCAGGCATCTGCTTCCCAGAGACATGGGAGACACCTGCCTATGCTGATCCACGATGCAATGCTCATCACTCGCTAAGGCTGTAGAGGAGGAATACGAATAAAGAATGTCTTTAACTAGGCGGGTTTTATTACTGTTTCTCCTTGTTCATCTCAGCTGGCTCCCTATCCACCTGCCTCTAGATCGAAGTCAAATCCTATGTACAATGGAGGTGTGCTCCTGGTCTCCTGGTGTGTCGAGTGACATGAGCTCACTGACCCACTTAAGCAGGTTCTTCCCGTTCTGCTTCTCTTCCTCGCTACTCCCCTTCTCTTCTCACTTTCTCCCCCTTCCTTTGTATTCCTCTCTACGTCACGGACACGAACGGTTCGAGCGAATCGAGTAGACTCGCCAAATTCGATCGACTGGATGCTGCAATCGGGAGGTGTGCTCCCGTAGACTTCTTTGCTTGCTTCGCTGGCTCGTTGTTTGGTTGGTGTTCTTCCTGCTTGGATCGTTTTATGTACAGAAGCTAACTCGGCCGAAGCGGTCTCGGACGAAATAATTTAATAAATCGAAGATTGCATTGGACACTGGCAACACATTAAGGATGACGGCGACCGTTCTCACGAAGACGTCGTGACACATCGATATACAGTCATTATGTAGTATGGCGAAATTCTGAGATAGATTTTTGACATTACATCTGCGCACTGCCTCGTCCGCCGCGCCGTCGCCGGTGGATACGAACATCCGTGGCAGATGAATGCGGTTTACGCTATTCTCTCACTATGTACTTAATGTAGGTTTATAGGGTTCCGCACCGCATTATGATCAACCAGCGAGTCCAAGTGCGGACATCGCCGCTCGACGCGTCAGAGACGCTTGAAGCCGCGACCCCGAGCTGCACCTTCTCATGCGAACTTTCGAATGCCTGACCGTCATCAGCGTCGTCGACATCCTCAACATCCGCTCATTTCTTACGCTCGTTATCGGCACGATCGAGGTTAAGCTATCGGAGGTAAGCCAATAGTTGGAACAAGTCGCAGAAACACCGTGACGCGGGCTGACCACTAGCTTGCGCACAGACTGACGGACAATTAGGAATCTAGCTAAGTGTGCACTTGATCGAGCACTGCAGATATTCTCGTTTGAATTGGACCGGTGTGTTGAGGACTTCCATCCAGTCGACTTGGATCCGGTGGAGGATATTGTTCGGGAACGGAGGCAAATCGCTGTTGTCGATGATAAGGTAGGTCAAGTGGTGTCCTCGGAACCCTCGCAGAGCTTCGATGAGCGTCGCCGAATGTTTGATACCGCGACAGGTGGCCACCGTCTCGATCTGATCGTCGTAGTCGTCCTCGTGCTGGAAGAGAAATACGATTATTGTCTGAGATCTCTGGTCATCCCACGGATGCGCTTCTGCTCGACCATCCACCCGAAAGGGGCTTCCATGAGGAAATATACGGCGGGAGCTTGGAGGCGAAACAACGTGAAGCTCAGGAACGCTGATCGCGCTGAGACCATTCCATGCCGGAAAGAGCCCATTAAGAGCAGATGGAAAGTCGTTTGAGAGGCAGCCAAGTCATCTGGAGTCCTCCGGCGAACTTCTGACGGCGACCCGCCGGCGAAGCTTGACCAACAACAAACGGACGGAGTTTCATTCGATCAAAACCTGGCGGAGTCGACTCTGGCCATCGGCAATACAGAATCGTACGCTTTCTATTCCGCTCAAGCCACTCGACGTGCCTCTCCGATTCCAGCTGACGTCGAGGACGTGCGGTTCCGGTTTCCGCGACCCGCTAGATCCGCGTAGTTTGCTTCCTGAACGAGCGAGTTGGATGTCAGTTTTGTTCGTGCTTTTCCCGCTGCTTTTTCCCTTTCTTTTTCCTGCGACCGGGGAAAATCATCACGCAGCAGAGCACGCCGAGCTTCGTGCTCAAAATCGGGAGTTCAAGCTAATTGAATGACTTTTATCTCTGCCGGAATTCGATTCCGTCAGACCAATTCGCGCCGGAGCGGGAAAATGGCGAGGTAATCGACGGCCTGTTCCCTGACGGTTTGTTCTTTCTCGTATCCGCTTGACAAATGCTCATCGGTGCTTTGTTCGTCGGGAAAGGGAAGCGCGGGAACACAAAAGCGGGCGACGGAGATGGGGAGTAAAGGGAGGGGAGGGGAACGAGACCAAAGAACCGATTGTAAAAGACTCCCTGGAGCCTGTTTCCGAGTGATCACCCGGAATGGGGAAAGTTGGCTCTGCATGGCTTCCCGCCGAATCGGCCGCTCCGAAAAGTATCGCGCTGACCATCCCCCATGCCCGGCGGCCGGTCAGACGAGATGGAGGATCCCGTCGTCGACCAGAAGGCTGTGAGGACTCCGCGAAAGAGCGGATTTGCGAGCTCCAGCCGGCTTTCTCTAAAATTCACTCGCTGTTCGCATTGAATGCTAGCGCTCCGTTGCAGGCCTACAGGCTCCACGGCGCTTCCAATATCCGCGGGGATCAGAATCCGTACTCCACACGGAGCGGAAAAATCCAGGCGAACGAATGCGGCGATTCACGCGTCGTCCACCACCCAACGCGGCACTGCGTCATTTGGGCCCTCGAACCCGCCAGGATAAGCGGAATGAAGCGAAGATAGAGCGATCTGCCGAGCATTTTCCCCGTACATAGGAGAATTCGACATATATGAATAATTACGACTTATGACGATCAATGAGAGCATGAGCATAGTCCGTACCGTGACGCAAGTGCAGGGATGAATATCTTCCTTCGACGGGCATTCGAGCTTGTATTCCCCGATCTCAGATGAGGATTCGCCACCTGCCAAGGTGGTCATCGGGTTCACAGTCGGCGCTGAATCGTAACGATCGTCCGCAGAAGCTGGAAATGAAAATTACCGTCAGAGGTGGTGAATTGAAACGAAATCGAATTACAGAAAGCCTCGTCGGACCCCTCCGCGGGGCGTGACGACTCTTTTGAACTCGCTCACAAGACTGATTGGAAATCAGATGAAAATAGCGCATAGCTCGTTACCTATGGTGGGCCTCTCGGTCGTCGTAGACGTGGTGAACCTTTGCATGGGGTAGGGTTTTCCAAACTTCGCCTCCAACGAATGCTGCGTCGTGCTTCCGATTCCCTCCGTCGATAGCTCATCTGTTTCGTGTTCTGTTGGGAGCGTTGCGTCCTTGTCCTGGGTTGGGAAGAAAAATTCTCAAATCATTCAGTGGAACTCTGCCGGGGTCAATCGGTCGACAAAGAGAACTATGGTGCTTCTTGAGAAAGGGCTCGGAGTGAGCTTTTTGATGGCACCTTACCTCGTGTGGGACAAGTGATGGTTCGCTGACAGCCGGGATAATGAAGCTGACCTGGAGGTCCTTAGTGTCTAAAGGCTTGAGCTCTTTGCGGGTGAGAGAATTCTCATTAGGTGGATTCTGCACCACCAGCGCCATGACCGGTCGGTCTTCAATGATTCTGGTAGCCTCTATATCGGGCTGCCGTGAGGGCGAGTCCAACGTGATTTTCTCAGGAGAGCTGACCACATCCTCCTCGTCTACGATTTCCGTTGGCTCATCGTAATAATCATCATCGATAGTTTTCCGCGTTGTCGTTCCATTGTACGATTGGATTTCTCCCGACGTCTCCAATGACGTCAAATTCTTCGTCCTTTCGGCTACGGTGACTTCCGGCGCCGATGCGTTCGCTGCACCCGCTGATATAACCGTCGAGGGGAATGTAACGGTCGCAGTCGTCGTCGATGACGGATCCACTGTCGTTAGGCTTCCCTTGGGAACAGTCTTGATGAAAATCATCTTGTCTTTAGTGGGTGGGATGCTGGGATTCATAATCTTCGAGGTGCGAGGAGCAGGCTCGGGATTCCGACCGGTGGCCGGCGGTTCGCGATTCCTGTTGTTATGCTCCCTGGCTCGGAGCCTCATGAGGTCGAGTGAATGGTAGTCGTAATCGAGAGTTGACGGAGTCTCTTCAACATGAGGCTCCGATGTCGTGGCTCTCTGAACGACGATCGGCTGAATAGAGATATTAAAATGAATCCTAGATTCGAGAGTGGGTCGAGATCACTTTTCGAGAACTTATCACTCGGATCCGATGTCGGGGATCCCGCTGGGTTCGAGTTTATTACTACTCACCAAGTTTGGTAGAGAGACGTTTCCGATTCGACGATGCAAACGACTCTCTTCAGCGGCGTATTTGTCTTCGAGCATTTTCGTCACTTTACGAGCGATCTCCAAAACTCCTTCTGGCTGAGGTGGCTCCAAATCCTTGGCAGAGTCGCTGCGAATCGATACAAATGGACTTTTAACTATTGCGGTCCGATCGTGGTCGCGTCTCCAGGCCCTGACCACGCATCTTTGTCTGGATCGTTGATTAGTCTGGCTCAAATTATTGTTTCCGATCGCGATACAGAAATTATCAGTACGATCCGTTGAGAATCGACTTCGCCAGAGTTTCGACTCCGCTCCGAAATTGATTCAGCTCTTTCAGAGATCCAGTGTTCGCGTGGGCAGTCTGACTCGAGAGAAGTCCCGAGTGACCGAGTCCGTCTCTACGGGTCGCTTTGAGATCCCGATCTCCACGTGCTCATCGAGGTCTCACCATCTGCCCTCGTCGCTTCCTCCCGCGATCTCTCAGAGGAGATTAATTGGCAGAACGCTGCCTCAACTCGTTCCCTACTATCAGATTACCGGTCGATGCAGACTCTCAAGTTGGAGAGCTTTGAATAACAACCGATCAACCTACGAAAAACCTGCTCCGCTCTCGAATCAGGCCTGAATCGCGCCGTCAACGCGCCTCGCGATCGACGGACGGCGCGGCGCAGATACAGCGCGACACCCTGCATCGAGTTTGAATAAGTGGTTTCGCTCCAAACCATCAATTCTGGGTCGGCAATCAGAGACTCATTGAATTCTTTCCCCTCATACGAAAAACGAAATAAATTGGCACGAGCGTGCAGAAGCTCATTTCTTCAAGCACTGATAAACTCCCTAGGCGTGCACTGCACATGGCAACCCGCACACCACGTGCCGTCCGCCGGGTTTTCAAGCGCCGATTCTCGTTCTCGGAATTCTTGCACTGCTCGAGTTTGTCCTTTTCTCTCCTGCACAGAAACGAGTCTCGACCAGCTGCGGTGGAGAAGGCTGGATGGCTAGCTGAGCGAAAAATCACATTCTTCCTTCCTCGGAGTTAAATCCGGACTCGCGTCCGACTGAGCTGCGTGACCATCATCGCTGTCCATCACTCGCCCAGAAGCAGAAGACGAAGAATTCAAATAGGACCGACGATGAAAACGCCCCTGTCTGCCCACTGGACGGATTTCAGCTTGAGATATAAAATAAAGACACGTAGAAGGCTCACTATGGTCCGACTTGATCACATGCGAGGCTTGAACAATGAGATGGAAACAACGGAACCAGATCTGTCGTATAATTTAGGCATGAGCTTTGCTCATGGCTATGTAGAGCCCAAATCGTAATCGCCAATGTCGTCACAAGACAAGCGCTAGCGGGCAACCTACTCGGACACAGAAAGAGCGAGCACGGCACGAGTTGCGGAATGATACTCAAAAGAGTTCGTGTTCCTCTCATATCGCCGTTAGGTACACTCTTCAGAGAACCCACGTGAAGCCGCACAATTCCGTCCCCCGCGGGTGAGGCTTGACCATGTACGGGGGCTTGATCTTATTCTGAATTCATTCCAGGGCCTGCCCGCCGTGAGAAGTTTATTCCGTGGACGAAAAGAGAGTCTTCCCAGCGGCGACCGTACTTTCTCCCATCGCTGATCGAACGCTCCTTGTCTCGACACTGGGAACGGGTACGGTTCCGATGGGAAAATAATCCGAGAAGCAGCCAGCGCGGTCGGGTGGTGATACGTCGGGGAAGAAAATCTTCGAGGAGTGGACTGTTCGGCATTTCAAGAGCAGGAGAACCACAGTACATGCAGAAAGCCAGAAGAAAAATCAAATGCTTTGGAAACTAGGTGCTCTAGATTGGAAAGAAAGAAACCGCGTCTCTCTCGACAGTTTTTCTTTGTCTTCTGTCGTCTTATGTTGCTGTTCGTCGTCGTCGTCGCCACTGTTCCTCTCCGTCCATGTGAATATGTTACCACGCACCACAGGACTATTGTTCCATTTCGTGATAGATATGCAGTGACCGACATCATGTACAATAAGCCATCCCGTAGCGTAACAGAAGTTACACAATGATTGATTCGTCTTCTAAAGACGTCGTCGTCGACGACCACCACGCGCAGAGAAATGCTGTCTAAGTAAGTAGAACAGTTGCGGCAATAGCGTACGGAACGGCAGTGCTTTCGACCGGTGCTGTCTCTGGGAAATTCGCAAATGGAAAGAAATAGAAAAAACGGACACCGCGACTGCCATTGTTCGATCCGCCACCAGATCGACATCAATCGATCCAAAACGTGTGACACTCTACTTTCAGATTGTCCACCTCATGTTCCGCGGGATTTTCTCTGTCGGGGACTCGACATGTTACCGTCTTGGCGTTCCGAGCAATTCGCAGCGGCACGTACTCGTCCAAGGTAATCCGCGGCGTGAGCCAATAAATCAACGGTTGATAATCATTTCGTTATCGACGTGTCTTCCCAGGCGAAGCCTGGGCCTTCTGCGTGACACGGCCGCATCGAGAAGCTCGGGACCGTCTTAGAAAATTCTGCGTGACACGTCCTGGTCAAGAATTTCCTTTAATTGACGCGACGTGATCGCTTTATCCGACGTTTGATACAGAACGAAAAGCAGCAGCGACGATGGCGGCGGCGGTGGCGACGACGACAACGACGAGAAACTGAGATCTGATACGAAAAGACGGAGCAAGAAGATTACGTCGTTGCCAGCACAAGGAATGACTTCAGCTGATAACAGGAGCGGGTCGCGCGCGGGTGTGCGTGCAAACCCGTCTGCGCAGCCCGCGCGTGTGTGAAAGCGAACAGGAAATCTAGCGGTATTGTTGTTACGGTCCTCGTCCATTTGACATCATCGACGGTGGGTCTGAAGGCGAAGGAAGGAACCGTACAAAAATTATTAGGAAATCGAAATCTAAAAAAAACTGAATCGAGCGACAGTGCCGTACTGAAGCAGGAAAGGGACGAGCTCAAAGCAGCGGTCGGAATTCGTCCCCAGCCCATCAGAGATCTCGGATGTTCGCGGAATTGCAATTTTCGTCCAGTTATGCCCCAGTTGCCAGTTCACTGATTCGAAATAAGCGCCAGGAATACACGTCCCAAGCGCTGCCATGACCACTCGACGGTGGCCCCCGGCGGAGCTCCGGCAGCTGAAAGAGATGAAGGCGATTCTGGGGAAATGCTCGAACGAAGAAGCGGTCTCCGACTAGGGGCCAAGAGCGGGGTCTGGACCCCTGATATTCAGAACCGAACCTCAAACATCATCTGTCGTCAGCTCAGCCTACAATTTTGTCTTGATTCCTTACGGGACCATTGTTCGGGAATCATATATGCTTCCTCTTCCGCATACTCCGAATGCAGGTTTTGAATGAATTTCGAATTCCGGACGAGGTACGTGTCGTATGGAGGTTATCGAAAACCGAGGAGCTATTTCGCTCCTGGAAGGACTCCCCTTGATTTTGCGACTCATCGAGGCATCTCGGAAAATACGAGAAATATTCACAAACGATATAGACTAAGGTTTAGGGAAGATCAAACGTGAGAGTGAGGTATGGAGATCAATATTTGCTTTTAGCCATCGAGCCCGGAATCCGGATCTGAATCGCTTCTATGAGTCTTCAGAGGGCTCGTTCTATCGGTAGTGAAGTATGTCTGAAGTTTCTCGCCGGATCGAGTGGATGAACAGGACCGAGATGAGGCAAGAACGAAAAGGGCGAGGAGGCGTTTCCTCGTTGTGCCCACAAACTCCGCGGAACGCGGAGTGGATTAAATTGAATTACACCTCCCGAATCGACAGATGAGTGAGTTTGACTTCCTGTGGTAAGAACGAGTGATCAGCTGACGGATTGACCGGCTGCCTGAGAAAGCAGGGACACAGGCGAATGACCGATCCGAGAGCCTACCCCTCCCCGGGGTGATCTCTGAATAATGTCGGATTGGAGCCCGAATAGCTCCGGGCCTATTCCCAGCTTCGAAAGTCGATATCGCAGACCTATAGGGAAGGTTCCCAAGATCATCTCGCGATTTGGAATCGACCTTAAAGCCGGATAGAGACGATCGACTCGAGTATACAGAAGTTCCAGGGAGGAGACGAAAACCTTCTTCCTGAACCTGGAAGTCCACGCCGAATAGATCACATTCTGATTTCATTCTAATTTTCCGTGGAGGCAGCGAGTTGGGAACAACGACGCGTACACAGCTCGAGTTGTTTCGAAGATATGTACATCTCCACATGCCGCCGAGAAGAATTCACACGAAGACATTTATATCACAGCTCTGCATACATATGTACATATGTCGTGAGAGCTACGACATCCGGTCATATTTCTCCTGGCTCGAACACGTGGCAACCGAGTATTGAAATCGAAAATTCCCCAACAGAAGTGTGACGACCCGGCGGAAAAGTGAGGGAAAATCTAAATTCGCCGAAGGCCAAACGTCGGAGTAGAGGCTTATTCGGGGGAAAAGACGGTTTCCCTGCGAAGGTCGGGGAAACCCAGAGGCGAAATCGATGAGATTTCCCGAACAATCGGAAAAACATCATTTCCGGAGAACCTCAGGGAATCTATCGGAGCTTTCGACGCCATAATTCTGAGAAGAATATCCTCCGGGGAAGATACTCCGATTTCCGAACCGCGTGTGATGTCCGGGGAAGAGGAGCGTACTAGGGGATTTCCTTTGCCGTCGGAAGGGCTGAAACGAATTAAGGTCTAGTCGACGGGATTCTAGTCGGGGAAATACTCACATAGTGGAATGAGAGTTCCCGACCACGTGGTCGTCTTCGGTGATCTCTCCTATCGGCTTCGCAGGCTCTTTCTGAACGGCGTTATTCTGTTGGTAGGGAGGCTTCGGGGTCCCTTCTTCGTATCTGAACTCCACGAGGGGCGGCGCCTTGAGGGCCATCATCGAGAGCGCGGGTAGCTCTTCAACGGACGAGCTGTCTTCTTTTACTCGGCTCGCGTTCAAACTCAATTTGACCTCGTTGAGCTTAGGCTCGGGAGTCACTTCGGCCAGAGAAGTAGATTCGGAGGAGTTCATGTGCTTGTCGTCAATCTGTTTCAAGCTCGCTGGCGTGCTCGCCTGTTCTATTTCCCCCGTCTGATTCTCTTTCGGCTTATCTTGATTTCGGCTCGGAATGAACTCGCTGTGATTTCCGATCGTGGAAATTACTTGCGCGTTCGGAGCTTGCTCCGTAGATCTCTGCGTTTCCTGAGCGCCGACTCCCGTCGGAGGGTACGTCGGAGCAGCGTCCGTAGTTGAGCTCGAAGCAAAGTCAGCGGGCGACGACATCACCGGGGTTTCACTTCTGGCCGACGTCTCGATTTCGGGCGTTCTCGTTGAGGATTCTTGGGTGATCCCCTCTACGCTCGGCATGACCGAACTGCTTTCGCTTGTCGAAATTTTAGACTCTTCATCGCTTGTTTTCTCCGCATCGATGATCAACTTTAAATCCAGTGCGGGATTCTCTCCGGGAGGGAAACTTTTTCCGGATCCCGACGGACCCTTTCGTTCGTCAAGTTCTACGCTCACGATCGGCGCCGAGAACTCGGCAGCTCCGTCCACTGACGTCGTTCGCTGAGGCCTCGTTTGCGTGGCTTCGCTCGAATTTTGTTTGTTCTCGACAGGCTCGGCGGTTGCGTTATGCGTAACAGAAACTTTCTTAGCGTCTCTCTCACTTCTTTCCGCCTCTCTGTGCAAAGCGGTGGGAACCGCTCCAGGATCCGCTTCGGCGGCCGGCGCCTTATCGAGCTCTGTTTTGACCTTCCCGGGTTCATCTTCGTCCGGTTTGTGCTGTTCCGGAACAACCAGAGATTGTCTGCCAGCCGCAAGCGTGTCTACTTGAGGAGCGAGCGCTCCTTCCAATTCCGAAGGCAAAGCCTCTGTCGTGGGTGACGGTGTCGTCCATTGGAGTTTCTCTTGAAACGTCGATCGGTGCAATCTGGATGTCGTGGTTTCTGGCTCTTCCGTCGTAGCCGAAGCGGCGCTCACGAGCATGAACGTCACGATCACACTCCACTTCATCTTGAGTGAATTTCGCCTCAGGGACAGCGTCTGCAATGAAAGAAAAACAGATTCTATGAGGATCTGAGCCAAATGATTCTCATTTTTGAGCTTATGGATTCTAATTACGTCAGACTCTTACTCAAAGCTCTCAAGAACAGCAACGAGGTTCGTCGAGTAGTAATTTTTGGAAACCTTTCATTGAGTAATCTTAAAGCGTTACGAATCCGCGTCGGCTCAATTTAATTTCGCGACGGTTTCATTCAAAAAAAGGTTTTGTTCTTCATGAACTCAAGCGCAGAAACAAAAGCCACGCAAGCCGGAAGTTATGCAAAGTTTGACGCCTTCGCTCCAGCATATTCGGCGGCCTGTCACGTAGTCAATCAACGTATTGCGGCTGTGGTCGGCACGCGGCGTCTGACGGACAGTCTACGATAAAAGTCTATTCTCCTCTGCTGTTGGTATGAGCGCGTCAAATACTCGGTGACATCACAACGAAGTGTCCTGGAGACAATCGCCCTTGTCACTTCTTCGTTCGCCGGCCCATCTTTCATTTATCCGGACGACGACATTCATTCATCCGCATGCGAGGATCAGGCTCGAGCTACCGAAGTCAACGGTAAATAACCTGTTGGTCCGAGCGAGACCCAGAAAGCCTTCCTCTTGCCAGGAAGAAATCGGGGATGCGTAGGGAGATTTTCCGCGGGAGATCCAACGGATTTCCTCCCCAGAAGGGTCGAGGAATTCTCGAGCGATGGAATTGAGAGCATTCATGCTAAATTTTTGAGGTCCATAGGAACAGAGCAACGGACCGGGCTTATGGTCACAGAGCGAAGATTTTCGTGTGTTGTCAAGAGAAGAACACACCCGGCGTCCTTGTTAACGGGTTCTTGCCAGCGGCAACATGAATGTTACTCTTGGAGGGCATCCAACGTGGCTGCCTGTCCACGACACGAGTATGGGAGAGTTCTCGCTCATTATTATTTCTGCTGCTCGTTTTTTTTATATCGCTTTCCTTTCTACATATTAGCCTTCCGGCTCGTTTCTCTCATCGTGGTCCGAAGCTCGTTTTCAGCTCATTTTCGTTGCTTTCGGCTGCATTTTCCGATAGTCTCCCCACGGCAAGATCGATCAGAGTCCCAGCTCCGCTCCCCGTTCCGGAGCAGAACGGGCCATGCGAATGAGACAAATAAACAATTAGCAGGCAGGAAGCATGAAAGTCGTCCTATACGTCGTTCTTGACGCCAACCATGTCGTCCACGTCATGAGCTTCGGAATTCTGCTACGTGCTGCAGAAGGCTTTATGCAAGTCATGTCGTGACCATGTGCCAGTCCGAGGCGGGAACGAGCCCAGATCCGAGACCGAGACCCTGCTGCCGTAGACCCCACTAATAAGCGTATCGTAGCGCGTGCGCCTTGGACACATTGTCGATCCGCCAGATACACAGACGGACGAAGGAAGGACCGAACGAGCGGTCTAGATCGGGCGAGACAAGGTGATATTGCGACGACTACTCATTTCTTGAAACTCCTCGCGTTTTGACATTTGGATGAACGCGCGTACATAATCAGTGGCTCACGCACGCTCTTCTTGGATTTATTGTCGCCAATGTCAAACATGCATGTCACGACCCACCGACTGAAATTATTCAAGGCGACCGACTGAGTGAGACGGCTAACTTGACGGCGAACGCAATCCCCACAGGTCAGAGGCGGTCCCCGACTGACTTTGCGGTTCAATACGAATCGTCGACGAGTCGTCGTCGACTGTGCGGCGGCGTTCGGGAAGTTCTCCCCGCGCGGTGACTTCGATCCCCAGGCTTGCACTGGACGAAATGAGAACTTTCGCTTTCTACAGAAAACCAAAATCGTCGACGTGAAGGCGGACGAGTTCGGATGTTCTCACGGAATAACGGAGACAATGACGACGAGTTTTTCCCTCCATGACAGCTTCGTAGTCTGCCACTGCGCGAGAACGCGCGCGTCAGCGGCTACAGCGTCGCTCGCTGCCAACGGTACATTCGATGAGATGTCCGACTCTCGGATCAGTGTGGAACACGGAAGAGTTCGTTCGTCTGTCCGCCCACCACGCATGAATCACTAACAGATGTACGTGACTGGTAGAGAAGCCGCGGAGGCGAAACTGAGCTTTCATAATCGGTTTCATTGAAAGTGAGCCATGTCTCTTTCGAGAAAAGATCGGAACCCTCGGGCTTAGGTTTCCGAATGATAAACGGCTTTAGGAAACGTCCTAAACATAATGAACGATCGAAACATCGATTCCTAAGCTGAAAGACACTGGCTCCTCGGACCGAGCGCAACCTGTCCGTTTCATGGAGCTGGCGTTCACGACGTTCTTATGGACTGGTTGGGACAGCAGCGGCTCGAAGATAAGACGAATGTTTCTGTATCGTAAAATTCTAGGCTACCGATCTTAATGTCGTTACTCTTGAATTTGGCGATCGAAGTTGCTTTCACCGTGGCGAGAAACGATAGGGTCCATCATCATCAAGGAAGGTTGATTGGAGCTCGACTGGAGACCACGCGCCATTGACCGAGCCAAAAATCAAGATTTCGAAAGCAGAAAGTGAAAGGAGATTTTCACTCATCGATCAAGCAGCCACTCGCTCTGAGGGATACCGCGGCGCCTCTAGGAATGCCGATTCATCTCCTAGGTCGATGGAGTAGAGCAAGAACCTGGAGAACTCGAGCTCCTAGAGAGCTCCGGTGCTCCTTGAAACCGTCGAAGAGACTCGGACCCTTCGGCATTGGCCGATATTCGGGTATCGGAAACAACTCGTGCGGAAGCAACTCGGCTCCCTGTTGAAGACATGCGAGTCACTTAGGAGGAAAGGACCAGGAAGGCGACCGGAGACGGGGGACAGAGGCCCTCGAGGAGGAACCATGCCGCGCTGTAGTTTCACCGGATTATCATTGCATTGCTTTACGTGATCGAAATGAAGCAACGTCGAACATGCTCCGCGGCGAGGCTAGTCCCCAACCTCAAATCGGATCTCACTTTTAAAAAAAAGTCAATCTGCTCCGCTCGAGCTCACCTCACTACGCACACTGACGTTTATACCCCTTGATTCAGCAGCGGCAATTTCCATAATCACTGACAAGTGGGCTTCGCTCAACCCAGAAACCTCTTGCGATGCATTCCCGAACCACGGTTTCGGTCAAGGCGGCCAGCTTACAAGGTTCGGGCGTTCGGAAACGACACAGCTACTGAAAAATATGACATTTGTGGAGCGGGTGAAATTTTTCGGATCCAGGACTGGAGTCATCATTTCATTTCGTGTTATCCTGCTTCTGAAGCCAACACCAGTGTTACAACGATCGGTCGAGAGATCGAAAGCCCTCAATCCACTCATTTTTCCATCCATTCATCGATCCATCGGTGCGAAGCATCACCGACAACTGCTGTATCATGGGAACTGAGAAGCCGACCGAGGGAAGCTATCGGGTAGAAATGGGACGCCGAAGACAGCGAATTTCATCATGACCGTGATGAGGAGTCGAATCGGATTCGATTGAGAGATCAGCGATCGGAATGAATGTCATCATGCCGATTTCTCCGCTGATTCATCTGCGATTTGTCCGTCAATCCAGAGCGACTTTCTCCGCGCGCTTCTGTCTGTACGTCTCGCCCCGTTCGGCTGACGCGCCGAACGTCCTTCACTCGAATCCAGAAGTCATCATTCGGATCCTGAGCTGATATCAGCACCGGAAGGTGTGAAGCAAGGAGGGAGGCTGAAACTTCTGGGGCTCGACGCTGGATTTTCAGTCTGACCCCGGGCCTGACTCGGTGATGCTCATACGCGGTACATTCGTGGGAGAATCGGACCGGATCTCATGGGATCCCGAGATCTTTTTCCGAGGCGTTGCGAACTGCTTCGCTCATCGAACTATCTCACGCGGCCGAATAGGAAGTTGATCGGTAGGAAAAGGATGCTGGTGGCGTCCGCTGTTTCCAGTTTGGACTGGGAACATCATTCGTCTTTTGAAAGCCACGAATCCTACAACGAGAAAAAAGCGTCCACCACGGAACGGAATATCTGCTGTTCGGATTGCATTATGATTGTGATGATTATTGTTCTCGTTAGATCCCGTGCCATGTATTGGGTGGCTCGCTGGCTCGCTACGTATTTCCCTCGATGGACGCACGGATTAAGGGATGCCGGTGGTCGAACGCGGTGGTCGCTGCTTGTCCGACACCGTATTGCCCTCGTTGAAAGATGGACGCACCCACCTGTCCGCACTGCACCCACTGCGGTGTAGCGGCATTGTTTTCGCGTTCCCGTACGTCGAGCCCTCGTTCCGTCCTCGTTTCTTTCTCTCGTAGCCGTCCATCTGTTTCTGGTGTAGGAGTATCGTCCAAGAAGCGGTGAACACTTTTTTTTTCTAAAATTTCTCCATACCGTCTTCGCTACCGTTCGCAGTTGTCTTTCATTTTCTCGGTCTTTCCGCCTTCCGCCCCCCCCCTTCCGTCCGAGCGAGCGCGACTCCGACCGCAACGAAACGTGGTCTTTCGCGGAATTTCTTCCCAAGTCGTGTACTCTGTTGACGTGGGAAGTCTGAAATCTGTTGGCGTCTTCGTCTTGCTCGTATCCCTCTGCTCCGACCTCCGGGAAGTCGTGTTCCCCATTGAAGATCACGTCCGATGCCGAATATTCAGGGGACATCGGCACGCTTGCGTCTACATTCCCCCCATTGCGGCTCCGAAACCCGAATCGTATAGCGAACACGAGTTTCTACTTCAGCGAGAAGAACATCGTCACCGACATCGCGTTCGATCTCCTCCCGCAGCAGCCTCTCTCTTGGGCCATTTTTCCCATAATTCCGAATTAAGTCGTGAAGACGTAACTGGTCGCTACCCAAGAAGCCACGCTTATCGGCAGAAACGCGCACGAAACGACTCTAGATCGAGTATCTACCGAGCGATGCCTCAGAATTACGCGGGAGCTCTCAACTCGCTCCCAGCACGTTTCGGGCTCCGCATGTTGAAAACGGACCACGGG